TATCTTGCACAGTGCAATGCCCACAAATGTGCTTAGAGATAATGAAAAATTGAATAGACCCTGATCATCTTCCTGAAGTGAACATACAGAAAATGCTTGATTTTTTGCAATAACACTTTTCTTTTTTATTATTTTGCTTTAGTGCTGGTGTCGGGACAAATCTGCTCTGCAGTGGACATGAGAATCAAATTTTATTCTGACTGTTTGCAACCCCATTTGCCGATTGTATTCTTCCCCATCTCAGACTGAATTTTTGAAATCTCCCCACATTGAAACAAAGGAGATCTTCTCATTCATTTGCTTCAAATCATTTGGTCTGTCCTAAAACCTAGACTTCTTCCCATACGGTTGGAATGATTTAAATTCCTTTTGCCTCCCAGACGGAACAGAATGCACAGCTATTGATCTAGCCCAGAAACATGCTTTTGTATGTGACATCTGCTATGACTTGGAAAGCCTTGTACAGTCTGTTCAAAGAATAATGTTGCATTTTTGCATCTAAATCCTTTCCCCTTGTCAAAACAGTGAAGCACAAAGACAGCAAGTCCTTGTCTTGTAAGTTTTCTTGAAGGCATTTTCAGCTCTCCTGGGGTGCATCTACAATTAATGCAGTATGACAGCACTTTAACAGCCATGACTCAATACAATAGGATCCTGGGAGACGTAGTTTGGTGTGGCGCCAGCACTCCTTAGCAGAGAAGGTTCAAGGCCTTGCAGAACTACAATTTACATTATTCCTGGCAGCTAAAGTGGTGTCAATTCTGCAGTGTAGATGCACCCCTGATCAGTTTATCATGAGCCTTTAAGGTGATAGCCCCAACTTCTGAGATAAAGTCAGAGCAGATATTGGATGATTTATGAGGAACCACTAAACCAAGCATTATTTTTTGATCTAGTATGGCTCTAAGCCACAGTGTTCTGCTTTTATAGGAAAATATGAAGTATCATAGAGGTATCACATTCTGGCAACGTCCAGCATTGAAGTTTCTTTATTAACATAGACATTTTCTTCAGAACCGCAGCTGCATATATTAAAGTTCTTCGAGGATGGTTCTGTATTTGATTGTGGCTTGTTTGAATTAAATACCAATGCCTTTAACATGTGCAGGATTGGCATGAACTCACCCAGCGTAAACAGTCTATTTGATACTGAGTCTGGCTGACACTGTGTCAAAACCCTCATATGCACTCTACTGGAAAAATGAATTTCTTGTATGTGTCCTTTCTCTGCCTGAATTGTATGAAACTGGCATGGAATTAGAAACTTTATATATCTTGTATTGTCGAAGGCTTTCATGGCTGGAATCACTGGGTTGTTGTGAGTTTTTTGGGCTGTATGGCCATGTTCCAGAAGCATTCTCTCCTGACGTTTCGCCTGCATCTATAGCAGGCATCTTGAGAGAATGCTTCTGGAACATGGCCATATAGCCTGAAAAACTCACAACCACCCACTTTACTTATCTTTGTTTTTTGTTTTTCTTTCATAGCATGTTCCCTCCTTTCCATGTGTTAGTTGTATGCTTCCACTTCCCTACTCCAACCTATCTATTTCTAGGAGTGCTGGATGTTGCAGTTCAACAACATCTGGAAGGCTATATTGTCTACTTCATTGTATGGGATTGTGGAAGGCCCAAGTATTTTCCTGTAGCACAGCACTGCTATTTTAGCACTTTCCCCTTTGCCCCCTTTCCAAAGCTGCATTTTTAGGCATCAAACTCATTATTAAAAAGAGATGTATAATCGAAAACTGTACAGAAAACACAGAAACAAAGAAAAATAGTACAATCACTTCTGAACTAAGAGCTTTGTTTTTAGACAAAGAAGTCAACTCCAAAAAGCCTGTGTCAACTTTTCCATGGATCAACATGAGTATTGTACCTTAACTCTTACCAAAAAAAGAACCATCCTCTTCTTTAGTTTAGTCCATCCTGGAATAACCTTAAAAAAGAGATTACCCCCTCTCTTCTCTCTCTGCTGTGGCACTGTGGGAAAATGGTGGCAGTAATAGGACACCTGCTCCTCTGAGATGGCATTTCCTCTCTATGGATCATATAAAAATTCATAATTTTGGCCCCCAAACCTTCCCTTGACTGAGGGCTTCATCACAAACAAGTGCCTCCCCTCTCTCCCCGCCTTTCTACACACTTCTAAAGGAGTTCATAGATGAAGAACCATTGAGCCCATCATATGACACAGAGACTTCTGGCTGTCATTCATGATGTTTCTTCAGTGAAATGTGTCAGAAGTATGGAGAAACAGAGGAAACTGTAGCCAGGGACAAACCATCTTCTGAGCTCCTTCTGCTCATGGAAACAGTAGAAAGTGCTTAAAAACATTTGGATGGGATCTGTCAGATTTGCCCCATTGGATTGTTTCTGTGATTTGGAGAAATCGGCAATCCTATGGGTGGTTTTCTATGCTCCACGTCTTTTAGAAAATCCTTCCCCATTTTTTTTTTTGTCGTGTCAGGAGTGACTCCTGGTGTGAGAGAATTGGCCGTCTGCAAGGACGTTGCCCAGGGGACGCCTGGATGATTTGATGTTTTTATCATCCTTGTGGGAGGCTTCTCTCATGTCCCCGAATGAGGAGCTGGAGCTGATAGAGGGAGCTCATCTGCCTCTCCCCAGATTCGATCTGCTACCTGTCAGTCTTCAGTCCTGTCGGCACAGGGGTTTAACCCATTGTGCCACCGGGGGCTCCTATTTGTTTATCTATAATCCTGTTGATTACTTATTGTATGTATGTTCTGATATGCAGCTTTCTTTCCTTGCTCTATGTTTTCCTGAGAAGTTGTGGGAGGGGCTGCAGACCATGTGATCCGCTCTGAGACAAGAACAGAGCACAGATTTCTTTAGACTTTGGGACTACTCAGATCGCAGACTTGCAAACACTTGTCTGCTGTTTATTGTAGAAAGATGTTCTGACCGGATGGCACAGAAACATATCTATAGCTGACTGATAAGTTGTGTACCTATGTATGCTGAACACATGACGGTCATAAATAAACCAAATATGTTATTTTTACCAAAGTCTACTTTATTTTGTCTTATGGGTGCATAATATAAACAAGTTGTTTCATGGAAGAATAGATATTTTTTTGGTCATGAAAAACACTTCTGAAGAACTTTTTTTTCCAAATGATTTTTATTAAGCAAAAAGGGGAAAATGTTATTTCCAAAGGGTAAAAGGTTATCGTGAGCTCAGCAAGTGGGAAAAAAAGAAAAAAAGGTAGAATTGTTGACTTCCAATCTCTTTCATCCAGGTATTAAGTCTATTTAGGTTGTTTCCACTCTATTTTTATGCACTGGCATATTCTCTCTTTCCTAACACATCAGGGACAACAGATTATTCAGTTTTACAACTTAAGTCAATTGCCTTACATAGTGATATTTGGTTCTTGTGGGTTTTTTCGGGCTATAGGGCCATGTTCTAGAGGCATTTTCTCCTGATGTTTTGCCTGCATCTATGGCAAGCATCCTCAGAGGTAGTGAGGTCTGTTGGAATTGGGACAATGGGTTTATATATCTGTGGAATGGCTGGGGTGGGGCAAAGAGCTCTTCTCTGCTGGAGCTAGGTGTGAATGTTTAAACTGACCACCTTCATTAGCATTTGAAGGCCTGGCTGAGCCTGGGAAAACAGAAAGGAAGAGACCATGAAAATGAACAAAATCTGGCTACCAGTATTAAAAAACTCTAAAATTACAACAGCAAAACAGCAGAGAGGAAACAACCAGGCACATCTTAACACCTCTCAACAAAAGATTTTCCTAGGCTCGACCCTATAGCCCGAAAAAATGCACAAGAACCTAGTGATTCCAGCCATGAAAGCCTTCGACAAGACATTTGGTTGTTTATCAGTTGAGAAGATTCTACTTATACGGGTTTTTTGGCTCTTCTCTAAAAGATTATGATCTCTAAAAGGTCATGCTTTTCTAAAACATGACTTCCAATCTTCTCTTCAATGACTCTGTGGCAATATATACAGAACATGTCACCTCGACTCTCTAACAAATTACATGCTACAATTCTTCTGATAGTCAACAGATATTAATTCTCAAAATCCACAATTTTTAATCATTTTTTTCTTTCTTATTAGCAGGTTAGAATAACCTGCTTTATATATATATATATACACACACACACACACACATATACATACACACACACACATATATATCTGTATGTATGTGTATATATATATATATATATATATATATATAATGTAATGTTCATTTGTGGGATTAACAGAACTCAAAAACCACTGAACGAATTGACACCAAATTTGGACACAAGGCACCTAACAACCCAATGTATGTCCTTCACTCAAAAAATTGATTTTGTCATTTGGGAGTTGTAGTTGCTGGGATTTATAGTTCACCTACAATCAAACAGCATTCTCAGTCCCACCAATGATGGAATTGAACCAAACTTGGCACACAGTTCTCCCATGACCAACAGAAAATACTGGAAGGGTTTGGTGGGAAGTGTCCTTTGGTTTTGGAGTTGTAGTTCACCTATTTCCAGAGAGCGCTGTGGACTCAAACAATGATGGATCTGCACCAAACTCTACACGAATACTCAATATGCCTAAATGTGAACACTGGTGGAGTTTGGGGAAAATAGAATCTTGACATTTTGGAGTTGTAGTTGCTGGGATTTATAGTTCACCTACAATCACAGAGCATTCTGAACCCCACCAATGATAGAATTGGGCCAAACCTCCCACACAGAACCCCCATGTGGGTCACAGCAACGTGTGGCAGGAGACGGCTAGTGTTGTGTGTGTGTGTGTGTGTGTGTGTGTGTGTGTGTGTGTGTGTGTGTATATATATATATATATATATATCACAATGTTTTTTTTCTTTCACCTAACTAAAAACCATATCTGCTAAGTCATTTAGTTTCAACAACCTTTTTTTCTCCTGTAGAAATCTTTAAATTCTTCCCATTGTGTCCATATATCACTCTCTATTTTAATACAGAAGCAGCAAACTCTTGTAACTTAGAAATAAGAATGAATTTGTTCATAGAAAGAAAAGGAGAAAAACATATATGTTATGTCAAGTAATGTGTGGAATTAACTGGTATTTTGTTCATTGTAACAGCTTATAATAGTTGTTCTTTTCAGTATCCACAAGAGCATTGCAAGCACGTTGCGGCAGAAACCTAGAAGAAATAATTTTAAAAATTATAATGTAATGAAAGGTATTTCTAGAGGAGTATTTAAAATTAGATAACATTAATGCAAATCTAAATATACAAAATCCTTTATTTATTTATTTATAGCATTTATACCCCACCCTTCTCATCCCGAAGGGGACTCAGAGCAGCTTACAGAACACTCATACAGCAAACATTCAATGCCGATTATACAATGAACAAGGTAAAATTCTACCACAATTGTTATATGGAGTGGAAATGTTGAGGAGTTTTCCTCTGATCGATGTCCTTAAGGTCACCTTTATTACCTCCCCGCTAAATGCGGTACCTATTTTATCTACTTGCATTTCTGCTTTTGATCTGCTAAGTGGGCAGGTGAGCTGGAACTAACGGCGAATGCTCACCCAAGTCTGGGCTCAAACTGTTGACTTTTAGATCAGTAGAATTTTTCTGCAGAATAGCGGTTTAGTCTGACCCTTTCTTGAGTTGCTTCCATACCAGGACCAATTAATATTATTGGAGGATTGCTTTCCCACAACCATTTGAAAGTGGTATTAAAGCAATGGTTCTATGTGGCATTTGATAAAGTGCTATATTATCTGGTAATGACTTTCACCATAACCGGGACTCTTTTATAATGTTTATTTACAAGTAGGTTCTGTTCAGCAACTATCCCCTGTAATGTTAATTAAAAGTTTCTCCTTTTTTTGTTTCTCCCTTCCATTGATTTTGTTCAACATGTTTAAGCAATTTGTTGGCCAGCCAGGTTATTGTTCTTAAGATGTCAATTGATTTTAATGTTTTTACTGATTTGTTGTTATAGAATCATAGAATCAAAGAGTTGGAAGAGACCTCATGGGCCATCCAGTCCAACCCCCCGCCAAGAAGCAGGAATATTGCATTTCACCCCTGACAGATGGCCATCCAGCCTCTGTTTAAAAGCTTCCAAAGAAGGAGCCTCCACCACACTTGGGGCAGAGAGTTCCACTGCTGAATGGCTCTCACAGTCAGGAAGTTCTTCCTCATGTTCAGATGGAATCTCCTTTCTTGTAGTTTGAAGCCATTGTTTCGCGTCCTAGTCTCCAGGGAAGCAGAAAACAAGCTTGCTCCCTCCTCCCTGTGGCTTCCTCTCACATATTTATACATGGCTATCATATCTCCTCTCAGCCTTCTCTTCTTTAGGCTAAACATGCCCAGCTCCTTAAGCCGCTCCTCATAGGGCTTGTTCTCCAGACCCTTGATCATTTTAGTCGCCCTCCTCTGGACACATTCCAGCTTGTCAATATCTCTCTTCAGTTGTGGTGCCCAGAATTGGACACAATATTCCAGGTGTGGTCTAACCAAAGCAGAATAGAAGGGTAGCATGACTTCCCTAGATCTAGATGCTCCTATTGATGCAGGCCAAAATCCCATTGGCTTTTTTTGCCGCCACATCACATTGTTGGCTCATGTTTAACTTGTTGTCCACGAGGACTCCAAGATCTTTTTCACACGTACTGCTCTGAAGCCAGGCATTGTCCCCCATTCTGTATCTTTGCATTTCGTTTGCCTAAGTGGAGTATCTTGCATTTGTCACTGTTGAACTTCATTTCGTTAGTTTTGGCCCATCTCTCTAATCTGTCAAGATCGTTTATTGATTGTATTTTACTGTGTCTGTTTTAACTTGTAATCCTTGAACTTGTCCCTTTGGAAGCTGCCCCGAGTCCCTTCTGGGAGATGGAGGTGGGGTATAAAAATAAAGTTATTATATTATTATAAGCATTACTGATGAAATGTATTTAAACTGTAATTATTCATTTCTTCCCTATTTTGGGGAGGAGAATGGCACAGTTGGAGTCTAATTGACTTTTCCTCTCATTATATTTATTATTTCTTTTATAATACAATAACATTATTTTGCCATTAAATAAACCAATGAGAAGAAAGCAGTAATTTAAATATGCATTGTGTGGGAAAAATTCCGCAATGTGTAAGAGACAATGACTGACTAATGTCAAACAATAAGTAATATCTTGCTAGTTTGAACAAAAAACTACTATTTACAAAAGAGAAAGGATCTAATTAAAGTCACAATAGCTCTGAAAACCTTTAAAACTATTGTGACTTTAATTATAACTTTTTTTTCTTTTGCCAGATTGTACAAAGCGGCCTGAGGCAAAACATTCAGTTATGCATCTAGACACCGGGATTGTGGCGCAGCTGGCTGAGTGTCAGCTGCATTAAGATCACTCTGACCAAAAGGTCATGAGTTCGAAGCCAGCCCGGGTTGGAGTGGGTTTCCAACCAATTATGTGTAGCCTGTTGTCGACCTTTGCAACCCGAAAGACAGTTGCATCTGTCAAGTAGGAAAACAAGGTACCGCCTTAAAAGTATGGGGAGGCTAAATTAACTGATTTATGAGGCCATAAAGAAGACTCCAGCAAAGCATTCCAGCGGGGAAGCATGCGGGGAATGCAGAAGTGCTTCATCAGTGTCGGAGATGAACAATGAAAGTGACAGCTCCCCGGTGGCCAGAAAAAGTTAAATAGCCTCTGTCTATGTCTGTATATGTTGTATGTCAAATTGGCATTGAATGTTTGCCATATATGTGTACACTGTAAACTGCCCTGAGTCCCCTGCGGGGTGAGAAGGGCAGAATATAAAAGCTGTAAATAAATAATAATATCTGCTGATTTAATTCTAACAGTTAGAAATTGTGGATTGAAAACATATTGTTTGTTTCTGGCTCTTGTTTGAAGGAATAGGAGCATAGTGTCTAGATCTAAGGAAGTAATGCTACCCCTCTATTCTGCTTTGGTTAGACCACATCTGGAATATTGTGTCCAATTCTGGGCACCACAATTCAAGAGAGATATTGACAAGCTGGAATGTGTCCAGAGGAGGGCGACTAAAATGATCAAGGGTCTGGAGAACAAGCCCTATGAGAAGCGGCTTAGGGAACTGGGCATGTTTAGCCTGAAGAAGAGAAGGCTGAGAGGAGATATGATAGCCATGTATAAATATGTGAGAGGAAGCCACAGGGAGGAGGGAGCAAGCTTGTTTTCTGCTTCCTTGGAGACTAGGACGCGGAACAATGGCTTCAAATTACAAGAGAGGAGATTCCATCTGAACATTAGGAAGAACTTCCTGACTGTGAGAGCCGTTCAGCAGTGGAACTCTCTGCCCCGGAGTGTGGTGGAGGCTCCTTCTTTGGAAGCTTTTAAGCAGAGGCTGGATGGCCATTTGTCAGGGGTGATTTGAATGCAATATTCCTGCTTCTTGGCAGGGGGTTGGACTGGATGGCCCATGAGGTCTCTTCCAACTCTTTGATTCTATGATTCTATGATTCTATGAATCTAGAAATTCAACCTTTGCAGAATTAGTAGAGACTAGAGTATTATGCACCCTTCTTTGACATGATGGATTAGACTCTCACTAATAATGTCTAGTAATTAATTTGTATCAGTAATATTAATGCTGAGCTTAAAATCAAATAAACATAACTTTGATTTTCTATGGTGCATACTTACTTTGAAGAAACGACAATTATCTTTGCCCAAGGTGGAGAGAAAACAATTTTCTGATTTGTAAGTATTCCTTCCATCAAATCTTTGGCCGCGTCCTCAGCCTTTAACACAGGAACCATTCTGAAGACATATAGAGGAGAAATGAATATTGTGTCTTATTCAGAAACTTCAGCCAACTGTTACTATGAATGTAATGCACGGTCAGCTCACACAAATATTGCTTTGGCATTGGATATCATAGAGATTCAAATCAATCTGTAATGTTACAGTAAGTTATGACTAGTACCAAAAGACAGGGGAATGTATTAACTTTACACTTCGATTGTAACATAATAAAGGATAATTTCAAACCTAGTATAATATAATTGTAACAGTGTTTTCCTTTTTATTAAGAAATGTTTCATAAAGTACCATAATTAAAAAATTACTACTTTGGATACTTTTGGTAAAAAAAAAAGCTAAAGAATAACATTTTTGTAAAAGTACAAGCAGAGGCGGCCCTAGGTAATTTTCAATGGTAAGCAAAGAGTATTTTGGCGCCCCCCCCCCCAAAACCAATCTCACACACACACACACACACACACATATATATATATATATGGGCATGGCAAACTGGCTGTGTGTGTGTGTGTGTGTGTATGTGTATATACACACACACACACACACACACACACACACTAGCCATCCCCTGCCATGCGTTGCTGTGATCCAGTCTGGTGATCTTGAAAAGAAAGTAATGAGAAAGTGTTGGTTTCTAATCTATGCAATTTCTTTATGCTTGTGGGTAAACAGTATTTCATGCTCCTTCTTTGTCAGTGTTGATGTGGAGATTGTCTGGTTTGCCTACTCTGGAACATGCAACATAGAATTGTCCTTCTTTAGGGATCCCTTTCAAATCTATGATATTATGTCTTCCATTTGTGTGTGTGTGTGTGTGTGTGAATCATATAGATCTATCTCTATCTATGGCTGGATGGCTCTTTGTCAGGAGGGCTTTGATTATGATTTCTTGGATGGCCATGCAGTCCATCAATCCCCCTTTGAGGCAGAATTTCCTAGCTAACAATAATCTAAGTAAATGCAGCCAGACCACAAATAAGCAGTTCTGTTACATTATCTGACTAACAAGGTTATCCTCCGATCAGATTAAAGTATTTTAAACTGTTGTTGTTGTTGTGTGCCCTTAAGTCATTTCCGATTTATGGGTACCCTAAGGCACAAATAACAAAGTGCAATTCATCAGGTATCAAAGGGCCCTTCCACATTGCCATGCAACCCAGAATAACAAGGCAGATAATCCACATTATCTTCTTTGAACTGGGTTATCTGAGTTCACACTGCCATATAATCCAGTTCAAAGCAGAGAATCCGTATTTTATATGGCAGCGTAGATGGGGCTGAAAACCCTTTCTTCACTGCCTTATATCCCAGGATCTGAACTGAGATTATTTGCTTTAAACTGGGTTAAACACTGCCAGATAATAATAATAATCTTTATTTATTAATCTGGGATAAGAAAATAATCTGGGTTCAGATCCTGGGTTATAGGGCAGTGTCGATCCAAAACCTCTTCTACACAGCTGTATCCAGATTCTCTGCTTTGAACTGAATTATATGGCACTGTAGACTCAGGGCCCTTCCACATAGCCCTATATCTCAGAATATGAATGCAGAAAAACCCACATTATCTGATTGTGGACTCAGATAACCCAGTTCAAAGCAGATATTGTGGGATTTTCTGCCTTGATATTCTGGGTTATATGTTTGTGTGGAAGGTCCCTGACAGGTCCTATATCCTAGGATCTGATCCCAGATTTTCTGCTTTAAACTGGATTATATGAGTCTGCACTGCCAGATCATCTGGGATAAACTGAAACCTGGGATCAGATCCTGGGATATAAGGTCTGCCTGGAAGGGCCCTGTGATAATCCAGTTCAAAGCAGATAATATGGATTATGTGCCTTGATATTATGGATTATACAGTTGTGCAGAAGAGCCCCAAACCTCCTTCTACACTGCCATATAATCCAGGCCAAAGAGGATAATCTGGATTTCTTCAGATAATATGGATGTCTTCACAGTTTGCATTGTAGTTTAACATCCCTTTAACTACCAGGGCTCAATGCTAGGGAATTCTGGGGGTTGTTGTTTTAGGGCCCTTCCACACAGCCATATAACCCAGAATATCAAGGCAGAAAATCCCACAATGTCTGCTTTGAACTGGGTTATCTGAGTCCACACTGCCATATATTCCAGTTCAAAGCGGAAAATGTGGGATTTTATTCAGCTGTGTGGAAGGACCCCCACAATGCCTTCTCTGCCAAAGCCCAGCAAACTACAGCTCCCAGGATAGCACAGCACTGAGTCAGGGCAGTTGAAAGTGTGGCACTGCATTCATTCCATAGTGTAGTTCAGGCATGGGCCAACTTGGGCCCTCCGGGGGTTTTATATGGAAGTGGGGCCTGAAGTTGGCCCATGCCTGGTGTAGAAGCACTCAAAGGCAAAGCATGAACAGAGCGCCCCTCTTTCCCTCCTTCCCCGGGGCACCTGCCTGCTGTCTCCTCTCTGGGGTCCACAATGGAGCCCTTTGGAGGTGGCGCATCCCTCTTGGGCTGATGAGCCCCCCCCCCCATGAGCGGCGAGTGACTAACCCACTGAGACGGCCCGGGTGGGCTGCTTTCCTCCAAGTCACTCTTTGGGAGCACAGCAGGAAGGCACCTGATGCCTGGAGTGCCCCGTCTCCATGCGGCGGAGTGCCCCGTCTCCGTGTCGCCTTCAAGAAGGAGAGGGAGGCAGAGAGAGGGGCATTTACAGAGGCGGCTCTGCGCGGCGCCCCTGGCCAAAAAAAAGTGTACAGCAGCCGCTTACTTCGAGTAATTGATAAACCGGCTCTGAGTACAAGATGACTATCCCTTGTCTGAAATACTTGGGAACAGAAGAGTTTTGGATACCAGATTTTTTTAAAAAAAAAATTGGAATATTTGTATATACATAATGAAATATTTTTGAGAGGAGACCCAAGTTTAAACATGAAATTATTTTGCATTTCATATACGCTTTGTATATGCACAGCCTGAGGATAACGTTATGTGAGTAAAATAAAGGTAAAGGTTTCCTCTGACATTAAGTCTATTCATGTCCAAATCTGGGGGATGGTGCTCACCTCCATTTCTAAGCTGAAGAGCTGGCATTGTCTGTAGACGCCTCCAAGATCATGTGGCCGGCATGACTGCATGGAGTGCCGTTACCTTCCTACCAAAGTAGTACCTATTGATCTGGTCACATTTGCTTGTTTTTGAACTGCTAGGTTGGCAAAAGCTGGGTCTAACAGCGAGAGCTCATCCCACTCCCTGGATTTGAACCGCCAACCTTTCGGTCAGCAAGTTGAGCATCTCAGCAGTTTAATGTACAATACTTTAAAATAATGTTTGCATACATTGAACCATCAGAAAGCAAAGGTGTCACCATCTCATCTATCCATGTAGTCAATTTTGAATTTTGGAATATTTCAGATTTTCAAATAAGAGATACTCAACTTGTACCTAGTGATAATAATATATAATAATATATAATATAATATAATACAATGACATAATAGCGGGGGACACTTAAAACTGTAGCTCCAAGAAATTTCTTTGGTCAGAGAACCTCATAGTAGTAAAAAGAAAAAAGAACACGCACATTCGAAATTTACCAATTCACCTCTTACTTACAGTGTTTTGTTCATCTTTGTAAATCCAGTATTGATAATAGAGGGACACATGCATGTCATCTGGATCCCATCTTTTCCCAAAAAACGTAGCTCTTCTTTCAGACTCTCATGGAATCCAACGGCTGCAAACTTGCTTGAACTGAAAAAAAATTATATCCATTACTCCCAAGAGAAATGTTACTGCAGAACCCTCAGTCCAGACTATCTTTTGTACCTTTGCACCCCTTACCCCCAATTCCCACCTCCTTCTGTCTAGGCTCCTTCCACTCTTCACACTCCCCACTCACCCTCAAGTTTTTTATTCCAATCCTTAATTACTGCAGAAGGAGCAGTTCTAGATGAAAATGTCATATTTTATCCACACACATATACCCACACACACAGGCAGTGAAACTGAGAGGGAGACATATGTATGAGCTCAGGGATCAGACCCAATAGTGCAGCAACTGGAGAATTATCAGTAAGCACAATAGTTCTGCTATTGTATTCCTGGCGGTTGCTGTTGTTGTTTGCTTTCAAGAAGTTTCTGACTTACAGGAACCCTAAGGATGAGATTCTCTGGAACTGATTTGCCCAAGGTCAACCAATGGGCTTCTATGACTAAATGGAGAATTGAATCCTGGTCTCTACAGTTGTTGGCCAGTGCCCAAACCACCATACCAGGCTGGCTCTCTTCCATATGGTGTGTGTGTGTGGATATGTGCGTGTGGCTAAAATCTGCCATTTTCATCTAGAATAGTGGTTCTCAACCTGTGGGTCTCCAAATGTATTGGCCTACAACTCCCAAAATCCCAGCCAGTTTGCCAGCTGTTAGGATTTCTGGGAGTTGAAGGCCAAAACATCTGGGGACCCACAAGTTGAGAACTACTGATCTAGAAAATCTTATGAAATCCATGATTGCAATTCAGTGTAGAGTTAGGAGAGCCTAAATAAATCTAGAAGTAATTGACCACTCAAAGACAGAAAAATATCTAGAATTATTTCATTGGGGTCTGAGTCTAATCAATGGTTGAATCTTTGATCTTATATGTGCCATTTCTGTCTATGTTCCCCATTGCTCCTCTAGACATTGCTGTCCCCATCATGATAAAAAAAAAAGTCTTCTTAAGGTTTCTATGATCGAAAAAGCTTAGGAACCATGCGAGATCTACAGATTACTATTTTATGTACTTCACCAGATTACAAATCCCAGGATTCTGTAGGCCTGAGCCTTGCAACTGTATCATTGAGATACACTCTGAGATTCAAAGAAATGAGCTTTTCTTTCTTATCTGTGGCAATATGTCTTTGGGATCAGAAGTTACTTTTCTGGTTAAATGAGCAACTGACCTACAAGATCAAGATTTAGTATCTGAGGCTCTAGTTACTTATCCTTATTCCAGGACCAATTCCAGGCTCTATTAATGTGGTGGATCTCAATGACAATTGGTAACTATCATATCTGTTAGGCAATGAATCAGCTCCAGGTTTTTATCCAAATTTAACTGAGATATCCAATATTCTGAATCCTAGCTCTTCTCAAATGGAAGCCAATAGCTGTCACGGCTGAGTTTCACCATATTGTTAACAGAGAGAAAAATGACATGATACGTACGTGTAAGTCACTGCGAATGGAAGACCAATATATCCAGAAATGGAAGCAACCGTGACAATATGGCCATGATTATTTTTAATCATTGCTGGTAGAAATGCCTTGGTTGTCTTAAATACAGACAAAAACAAGAAGAACCAAGTCAGAAATCAGTATTCAAAACACTCAATCAAAAATATGCCAATTTTTATTTAGATCATGATACAAATGTTCAGCTTGCAAATGAATGATATGACAGTGAGTGGCATGACCTGGAAGAAATGCGGACACTGGGATGTTTGTTACATTAAACTGCTTGGATACTTCAGAGTTTGGTGAAAAAAAAATTTTTTTCAATATGACTCCTAGAATTTCCCATCTACTGGCCCTACTGATTGAAGGATTCCGGAAAATTTAATTTTTTAAAGTTACTTTTCCAAATGCTAAAGATACTATACTAATGTATTGCATGGGTTTACATGCACCCAGCTACGTATCACTGGCTGTCAGCCTTCTAATCCCCTTGATATCTATTTTTCATTAAATAATCTGCAAAGTTTTCACTGTAATAATATGGAGATGCCATTAAATAGCAAGGTACACATGTACACATGTACCAGTCTTCCACAATGCTGGATAGAGTTGGTGGGAGTTGTTGTCCAACATATCTTGAATTGAGAAAGTCTGATGCTTATCTTTGCTTAACTGTATTTATAAGACTGCATTTATAGTTTTCATTCCCAAATTCAGACTTCAGGTATTAGTGACAGTTACCCAATAATGTGAAAGAACATTGACATCAAACATGTCTTGGATCTGCTCATCTTTGGTTGAAAGTAGTTTGGCTGCGGTTATCACTCCAACATTATTCACCAAGATGCTAACATCTCCAATATCTTTTTTCACCTATGGAATGGGGTGAGAGGGAGAATACAAATTAGGGATGTTTATAAAGAAATTAAGTTATATTTGGACAACCCACAGCAAGCTGCAAAGAGGTGACAGAGCCCTTTCCTGTCCCCTCACTATGCTGCCTGAGGTCTGTCCCTTCGACAGGCTTGGGAAAAAGCTTGTACTCATTCTACTGATATTTTACCTTGTCTGCAACTGTGTAGATTTCCTCCCTGTTCTTGCAGTTCACTACAAATGCATGTACAATGGCACCCAACTTTCTGCATTCCTCAGCTGTCTCTTCCACACCTTGCTATGAAGAAAAAAGCATAGAAACTATAATATTGACATGTAGAGAAACATGCAAAGGTTTTGCACAGAAACCACACTTTTCTGCTCATCACCACTGAAATTTTAAGCAGGCACATAGTGATAGAATGTAAATATTGGAATCTTGGTGATAGATGAGTTATCTTAAAGAGTGTAGCCAGATATAATGGTGACTGCTATAGCTTAGGTGGTGCTGGCTTTAAGAAATATCAATGCAAAGTCATTCTGTCTCCATAAGGCAATGTCTGTCTCCCACTCTGTGGAAAAAACACTCAAGTCCACCCAGAAACTCTGCCTTGCTTCCTGGGCCCTTGGAAACGAAGCTGGTTATTCTTTTCTATGTCACTCTGTCTATCTCATAGTGCTCACATAACATCTCTCTCCAAATGAGGTTTTATTTATTATTTATTGAGTTTATATCCCACCTTTCTATGAAAGTGAGATCCAAGATGGCTTATTTATCCTGCAGTGATATTTAGGTTACACTGAGAAGGATGTTGGATTGCATCCTCTGTAGATTATTGGGAAGGAGTTCACTCTGTTTGAAGAAGTGAGATTATTCGGCATTCCTGACAAATACATAAAGATTCTCAGAAGCAAAAGAAAGTAGAAAGTCCTGGGAGAAGGCAATGGCAGAAAAACAAGCCAAGTTTTGGAGAGTTATTCGCAGCTGAAAGCATAGAAGAATTAAACTGCTTGGGTGACTTTAATCTTTCTCAGAGATTGAGTGTTGCACATATCCAAGATTTTGGCAAATCTTCAAACAAATTTCTCTTTTTGAACTAATTCCAAAACAGGTTTTATCTGGATAGCAATGAGCAACTGGAATTGATGGGCTGGACGACATTTGCCAAAGGCAAAACAATGACCTGCTGGCCCCTGATATTTTTAATGTGAATTTGACTCCTAGGTCCTTTAAATTCCTAAACTTGGTGTATCTGTTAATGAATTAAGATCCCTATTTTCAGACGGGTATTTTTTTTAAAAAGGCAATTGCTAAAATCCTAGGATCTATAGACTAATTAGCTTTCTGAAGGCAGCTTCTAAACTGTACTTTGAACATATATTGCATAAATCAAGAGGCTTCGGGGAAGATATTATTCTTACCAATGAAGCAGATTTTTGTAGAGTTCAAAGTACAGCAGACTATTTATTCTTTGCCATTTGATTAAAATACACACAGATACAGAAACACACATTGGGATTTGCTAAATGTTAAAATAAACACAGACACAAACACAAGGATCGTTAAATATTTGTTTGTGTTTTTATAGGCATGACTTCAGCCTTGGATTCAGTAAACAGAGCCCACTCTTGAAGAAGATAATCTAACACCGATAAAAGATTGTTGGGTTAATAAAAAACCTACCGTATATTCCGGTGTATAAGACGACTGGGCGTATAAGACGACCCCCACATTTTCCAGTTAAAATATAGAGTTTGGGATATACTCACCATACAAGACTACCCCTCTTTCATAGCCAGCTTAATGTCAGGGGAAACATTTACCTTACCTAGAGTGAGCCCAGGGCCAGGTCCAATGTCCTTTCTCCAAAAGCAACAACAATAATAGAACCCTAGAGTTGGATGGGACTCCAATGGCCAGCCAGTCTATCCCTAATTCTGCCTGGTGGAAACACACATCAGGATGATAGGTGGCCATCCTGCTTTGCTTAATAACAACCATAATAATTGAATCCTAGAGTTGGAAGGGACCCTAAACTCCTTCTCCTCCTCCTCCTTCTCCTCATGCCCAGAGCAGCCTCCTCTCTCGTCTCCTTCAGCACAGCTCCTTTGCTGCCAAGCCAGAAGCCTCTCCGCTGTTTCCTCCACCGCCTTTGCTGCCTCCTCGACCACCACCTGTGCCACGCCGCTGCACCTCTTTGCAAAGCCCTGGCCGTTGCCCGCCACCTTCACAGAACAGCATTGCAACCACTGCCAAGGCCTGGCTATTGCGGGAGCCGCCAGGACTGCATGCCTGCCTGCCTCAAGCCCCACGAAGCCACAGCAGGCAGCTCCACGGACTCCTCTTACCGCCAACGGAGGAAAAGGAAAGCAAAGCAGAGTGCTTGTTAAATGGCATCCCAAGCGGGGAGAGGAGGAGGAGGAGGAGGGGAGAAACTGCACCCTGCGAACAAACGCACGCGCACTCCTCCTGCAACCAAGCAAAGCACCCGCTGGAGCAGGACACCTGAAGCAGAGACCAAAGGGACCCGGCGATACCCAGCGTACAAGACAACTCCCTATTTTGGAGATGATTTTCCTGGGTTCAAAACTCGTCTTGTACTCCAGAATATACGGTACATTACAATAATGCCACTAACATTGAGTGGGATTTTATGAACAAGTCACAGAAAATGATGGAATCTCTCAAGGAATTTATGGAGATTTTGTCCTCCTTTATTTAATTTTTGTGTATGAACACTTTAATGCAAGAAATTATATTCACTTCTTTCTTCTTCTCACTCTTGAAGCAAGTAATGTTCTGATACATGTAGATGATTTAGTTCTACTTTTCCTTATCCAGCTAGGCTGGATGTGTATATAACACATTTATGTTCAAGTTTTCATGCTAATAAGTGCATTAATATCACTAGTCAAAAACCAAGATACAGTCAGCCTCCATGTCAATGGATTTTGCATTCATGGATTCAACCATCCATGACTTGAAAATATAGAGCTAGAAATTATCAAACTGATATTACCTAACACCCAAAATAAACAGTGCCTTTTTCAAATAGCTTGGGCCAACATAACATATTAGAGGGGTTTGTGGGGGGGGATGACCTGCCTACACGGAGTTGTAGTTCACCCTGCATCCAGAGATATTACCAAACTTCCCAAAATAAGCAATGCCTTTCTCAAGTAACCCAGGCATCACTGGGCCCCCAATCTAGTTAAAAAAAAAATGTAGGGCACCCTTCCTTGTTAGACACTACAAACTGGTTTTTATGGTTCACAGTGCTAATTGCAAAAAAAGAATTAGGGAGAGAAAGGCAGCTGAATGTGTTTTGCTCTCATTCATTGTGAATTTTTAAGAAATGTTTTGGCTTCTTTTGACAGGTGACCCAATTGAAATATCTTGCTCTCCATGGCACCGGGAAACATAAGGGGAGAAATTTACACCATCACTTCAAAGTGTAGTAACCAACAACTGAAGGGAGGGCACCTTTTTCTAATTTAAAGGCATAAGATTCTTTATCTTCTCCACAAATAACATTATCCCCATTAAGAAATCACCCAACTGTATGCATACAATGACAGCTATTTCCAACATACAGAACTAGTGCTGCTGATAATTCCATTAGAAGGAAAATAGTAACAACTACCAACCTTATTGATATCCCAAAGGACCAGCACACTTTGATGTTTGGCAAACTCATAAGCTGTTGCTCTACCGAGTCCATGTCCAGCACCAGTGATGAGAACAATTTCTCCAGAGATGGACTTCCTGTTCTTGGGAATGAAGAGTTTTACCAGAGCCTCCAAACATGAATAGATACATATGATGATATTTTTGAGGAGCGTCAGTAGGACAGGTAATACTTTTCCTTCTTGAGGAATTCTACACTGAAACATTCTGTACTGCGACGGACTGTTATATGTCCTGGCAGCAGAAGCTTTTGACTTATTAGAGGGGCCCAAATGCCACTTATAACCTTCTGTGTGAAAACAATCGTATGCAATAACACAATAGGCAAAGGAGATGCTACTGCCCACATGGAGTGGGTGGTACTGTTGTTTTCAGTGTGAGAAAATTGTATAAGATAAAGGTATGCTGCAATACTTACAGGGCATTTACTAAAATGCACATGAGTCATATAAACAACAATGAAATGTAAGGATGCAGTGCATCCTCAGCATTAGCTAGAGAATAGATCATCAACACAAAGGAACAGCTTGACCCCATTTGTAAATGTGCTTTCCAAACAGGGTTACTAACACCTGCCAATCATTGAGAATCTCCAAGTGTGCTGTGTTTTAAACCCCAGCCATGAAATTAATGTCACTTATAGGTAGGCATGAGGCCTACCTATAAGTGACCTATAACTTCATTAATAGGAAGCTCCCTAGCAAGGCCTTGGGTGCATTGATAGTGAAAAAATTATGCAGTTTGCCATAATGGCTCAATGCTATGGAATTCTGACAGTTGTAGTTCAGTTTATTTGTCGTGTCAGATCAACCAGTCAATTATATTACATTTCTAACAGAACAAAGCAAACAAACAGACAAAATACAACATTTGTGAGTTTGGTAGTTGATTAAATGTCCTTTGACCAGTATCTGGCCACTTGGCGTGCTTCTGGTGTTGCTGCAAGGAGGTCCTCCATTGTGCATGTGGCAGGGCTCAGGTTGCATTGCAGCAGGTGGTCAGTGGTTTGCTTCTCTCCACACTTGCATATCGAGTATTCCACCTTGCAGCCCCATTTCTGAAGTTTGGCTCTGCATCTTGTGGTGCCAGAACGCAGTCTGTTCAGCGCCTTCCAAGTCGCCCAGTCCTCTGTGTGTCCAGGGGGGAGTCTCTCATTTGGTATCAGCCATTGGTTGAGGTTCTGGGTTTGAGCCTGCCACTTTTGGACTCTCGCTTGCTGAGGTGTTCCAGTGAGTGTCTCTGTAGATCTTAGAAAACTTTCTAGATTTAAGTCGTTGACGTGCTGGCTGATACCCAAACAGAGGATGAGCTGGAGATGTCTCTGCCTTGGTCCTTTCACTATTGGCTGCTACTTCCCGGCGGATGTCAGGTGGTGCAATATTGGCTAAGCAGTGTAATTTCTCCAGTGGTGTAGGGCGCAGACACCCCGTGATAATTCGGCATGTCTCATTAAGAGTTCAGTGAGGCGTGGGTACTCATTGAGAGAAAAGTCTAAAGACTTGTATGAAAAGTCTAAAAGTAAAGAAAAGTCTAAAGACTTGTATGATTCCATTGCATTGAGCTATGCCAGTTAAAGTAACGTCATTAACTCTACACTGTAGATGCACCTCTTGAGTAAGACTTCTTCTGAACCAACTTTGAAGTCCTCTAAGTGTAGTTGGTCTGTAACTCCTGGTATTTCTCACAATTGACTGTGCTGCCTTGGAATACGAAGAGTTGTAATTCAACAATATTTTGGAGGGGGCACATACTTATCACTTCTAGTTTAGTAAAAGAGAAAGGGCAAAAGGGAAAAAAGGATTACAATCCCAGAATGAATTTCACAAGAGTACCAGTACTCACAAGAGTACTGGAGCCCCCAGTTGCGCAGTGGGTTAAAGTGCTGAGCTGCTGAGCTTGTTGACTGAAAGGCCGCAGGTTCAAATCCAGAGAGTGGCGTGAGCTTCCGCTGTCAGCCCCAACTTCTGCCAAACTAGCAGTTTGAAAACATACAAATGTGAGTAGATTGATAGGTACCGCTCGGGCAGGAAGGTAAGGGCGCTCCATGCAGTCATGACCTTGGAGGTGTCTACAGACAACCCCAGCTCTTCGGTTTAGAAATGGAGATGAGCACCACACTTCAGAGTTGGACATGACTGGACTTAATGTCAGGGGAAAACCTTTACCTACCGGTTCAAAAAAATTGAGAATGAACCAAGAATGAAACAAATTCTTTGCGTTCTTCTAGTCCAGATTCAAAAGCAAATAACCATCCACTTGTGCATCTTTCTAAAACTGGTGTAAAGTGAACCAATCTGGTGGTATCATTTGCAGTTCCCAGTTAGATTGCATATTAGACTGATTGGTTTAATTATTCCACAATCTGAGGTGGACAAACTGTGATGCTTAGGCACATGTGGTCCCAGCTGGTTGTTGTTGTTTACTTATTATTTATTATTTATTTCAAAGTTTTCTATACCGACCTTCTCACCTCATTTGAGGGACTCAGCCCAGTTTCCAACCATAAAAACACATAGAATCAGTAAAATATCATAGTTCACAATTACAGTAGCACATTTAAAATAACAATATATTTAAAACTACGGTGGTCAGTCATCATATTAAAATCAAATATACATCATCTTCCATCCAAAATCCTAGGGTGTTGTCTCATTCATCGAAAGCCTGTCTCCACAACCACGTCTTCACCCGTTTCCTAAATGTCAGGATAGACGGGGCAGTTCTGACCTCCGGTGGGAGAGAGTTCCAGAGTCGCGGGGCCACCACCGAGAAGGCCCTGTCCCTCGTCCCCACCAGACGCGCCTGTGCGGCCGGTGGGACCGAGAGCAGGGCCTTTCCAGACAATCTTAATAATCTTGATGGTTCTTAGGGGAGAATACGTTCGGAGAGGTAAACAGGGGCGGAGTCGTTTAGGGCTTTGTAGGTTAACACCAGCACTTTGAATTGTGCTCGGAAGTTAATTGGCAGCCAGTGGAGCTGGTGTAACAGCGGAGTGGTGTGCTCCCTATACCCAGCACCCATTAGTAATCTGGCTGCCGCGCGTTGGACTTGCTGCAGCTTCCGGGCAGTCTTCAGAGGCAGCCCCACGTAGAGAGCGTTGCAGTAATCTAGGCGGGATGTAACCAAAGCGTGGACTACTGTGGCCAAGTCAGACTTCCCAAGGTATGGGCGCAGCTGGCGCACAAGTTTTAGTTGTGCAAAAGCTCCCCTGACCACTGCCGAGACCTGGGGCTCCAGGCTCAGCGATGAGTCCAGGAAAACTCACAGACTGCAAACCTGCGCCTTTAGGGGGAGTGTGACCCCGTCCAGCACAGGCTGAAACCCCGTACCCTGTTCGGCCTTACGACTGACCAGGAGTACCTCTGTCTTGTCTGGATTTAGTTTCAATCTGTTGTCCCTCATCCAGTCGGTTACAGCAGCCAAGCACCGGTTCAGGACCTGAACAGCCTCCTTAGTAGCAGGTGGAGAGTTGGACATCATCTGCATACAGGTGACACCGCACCCCAAAACTCCAGATGATCTCTCCCAACTGCTTCATGTATATGTTAAACAACATAGGGGACAGTATTGAACCCTGCGGGACTCCACAGGACAAAGGCCAAGGAGTCGAGCAGTCATCCCCTAGTGACACCTTCTGGGAGTGACCATCGAGGAAGGATCGGAGCCAATGCAAGGCAGTACCCCCAAGTCCCATTCCCGTGAGGTGTCTCAGAAGGATACCATGGTCGACAGTATCGAAGGCCGAAGAGAGGTCCAGCAGAACCAGCAGGGACACACTCCCCCTGTCCAGTTCCCGGCGAAGATCATCCACTAAGGCGACCAAGGCTGTCTCAGTACCATGTACCGGCCTAAAGCCAGACTGCTTGTTGATGTTTTCTTTTCTTTTCTTTTTTTTTGCAAACCTCAAGCTTCTTGATTCTCTAAAGCCCATTAAGGTAAAGGTAGTCCCCTGACATTAAGTCCAGTCATGTCTGACTCTGGGGTGTGGTGCTCATCTCCATTTCTAAGCCAAAGAGCCAGCGTTGTCCGTAGACACCTCCAAGGTCATGTGGCTGGCATGACTGCATGGAGTGCAGTTACCTTCCTGCCAGAGGGGTACCTATTGATCTACTCACATTTGCATGTTTTCGAACTGCTAGGTTGGCAGAAGCTAGGGCTGACAGCGGAAGCTCACGCTGCTCCCCGGAATCGAACCTGCAACCTTTCGATCAACAAGCTCAGCAGTTCAGTGCTTTAACCCACTGCGCCATCGGGGGCTCCATTAACCTCCACCAATTAAATGTTTTTGGGGAAAAAATAAACTTACCAAATGGTAAACTGCCTTCTTGAAATAATGGTTTGCCCTTTAAACCCCTGTCATCCAAGTCTGGCTGAAGTCACCCAACTGGAATATTGCTCTCTCCTTTTCTTTCTCCTTATATCCCACCTTTTTAGCAGAATCAGGATGGCTTACCAATGGGTATGCTCCAGCCCCAAAACCTAACCATACCCAGCTGTGAAAAATAGATATAATTTAGTTCTGATTAAATATACAAAACACACATGAAGATCAGTATCAATTCACTATATAGCAATGGAAATTTTACAGGCAAAACTCAAGCACAGCTCCTCACCAGTTAACATTATAAATCCTGCCCATTCTTTAGATCGAAACCGATAAATAGAATAGGAAGAATGCTGTCAAGCAACACTGATTGTGGGTTTTCAACATATTGCCACATCACAGCAGCAGTCCCTTGAAACGTGCAGAATCTTGTGTAGAAAGCTATGCATTGCTCATTAGACAAATATTTTGATGCTTGTCTAACCTTAATAACCTTGTGGTGGGGATACAGCTTGTAAGCTGTATCAATAAGATTATCCAAACTGTTGAAGATTGCTCCCAGTGCCAAAAAGCAGTAGAAAAGAGTGCATCCTAGAATTTATTTCTTTAGGATATCAATAAGGTAGGAGTGGCACATCACAAATACATGTGAGTAACATGTACAACAACAGAATGTAAAGTTACAGTACATCCTCAGCACTAGCTAGAAAATAGATTTACAATAGAAAAGAATGTCCAAGCAATTTGTAAATGTGCTTTCCAAATGAAACAACCAAAGCTTGTTAATTCTCGAGAATCCCAAAGTGTGCTGTGCGTTAAACCCCAAACTGAAATTCATGCCACACAACAACAATAGGGTTTAAAAGAGGCGGTGGTCTCTCCTTTGCTGAAGAAACCAGATTTAGATCCCTCGGTTCCCTCCAGTTACTGCCCAGTTTCAAATCTCTCGTTCCTGGGCAAGGTGATTGAGAGGGCAGCAGCGGAGCAGTTGCAGCAATTCCTAGACGACACAGCCGGACTAGATCCCTTCCAATCCGGCTTCCGTGCGGGGCATGGGACAGAGACTGTGCTGGTCTCCATCATGGATCACCTTCGATGCCAGCTTGACCAGGGCGGGTCAGCGCTGCTTGTGCTATTGGATCTCACAGCAGCATTTGACACAGTCGACCACAATCTCTTGACCCACCGCCTTGCTGTTGCTGGAATCAGGGGGACAGCTTTAAACTGGCTGTCCTCCTTTCTTCACAACCGTGGACAGCGAGTGGAGAGGGGAGGCCTGGTCTCTGAGAGGTCCCCTCTATCTTGTGGGGTTCCTCAGGGGGCCATTCTCTCCCCTCTGTTGTTTAACATCTATATGCGACCACTTGCTCAGCTGGTTCGAGGTTTTGGGCTTGAGTGTTATCAGTATGCCGATGACACTCAGCTGGTGCTGAAGATGGAAGGCCGACCGGACTCTGTACCCGATTGTTTCCATCAGTGCCTCGAGGCCGTTACTGGATGGCTGCGTGCCAGCAGGTTGAGGGTGAATCCAGCAAAGACGGAGATCCTATGGCTGGGTGGACCGGGCAGTGGGGACATCCATCTGCCCACCCTGGATGGCGAGGCGTTACGCCCGTCATCATTGGTAAAGAGTCTGGGAGTCCTTTTGGACCCTCTGCTGACGATGGAGGCCCAGGTCTCCACCGTTAGCAGAACCGCCTTCTTTCATCTGCGGCAGGCTAGACGGCTGGCCCCCTACCTGTCCAGGGACGACCTAGCTACGGTGATCCAGGCCACGGTCATCTCAAGACTGGACTACTGTAACGCCCTCTACATTGGCCTCCCTCTGTCGGTGATTCGGAAGCTCAAGTTGGTACAAAACGCAGCTGCTCGGCTTCTTGCGGGAATTCCGATGAGATGCCACATAACACCAATCTTACTACAGCTGCATTGGTTACCAATTGAGCACCGGATCACTTTCAAAGTGATGGTACTCACCTTTAAGGCCTTGCATGGTCTGGGGCCAATGTATCTGAGGGATCGTCTCACCCCCTACCAACCCCAGAGATCCCTCCGTTCTGAGGACCAAGATCTATTGGAAGTCCCCAGTGTCAAGACCTTGCGTCTAACGGCAACCAGACGCAGAGCCTTCACAGCAGTGGCGCCATCAGTCTGGAATGCTCTGCCACCTGAAGTTCGTGCCCTGCGGGACTTACCAGCTTTCCGCAGGGCATGTAAGACATACCTGTTCCAACAGGCTTTTAATGTTTGATACTGTTGTTTTTAAATTGTTTTAAATTGCTTTTAAACTTTGTTAGATTTTAGCTATTCTTGTAAGCCGCTCCGAGCCCCAGGGGAGTGGCGGCATATAAGTTTAAATAATAAAAAATAAAATAAATAAAATAATAATCACAACAATAGCAATAACAATAATAACAACCTATGACGATGCCTGCCATAGATGCAGGTGAAATGTCAAGGGAGAATGCTTCTGGAACATGGCCATACAGCCCAGAAAACACACAACAACCCAGTGATTCTGGCCATGAAAGCCTTTGACAATACAACAACAACAATAATAATAACAATAATAATAATACTTTATTTGTATACCGTCCTATCTCCCTGTAGGAACTCAGAGCGGTTTCCAACATATAAGGCAAACATTTAATTCCATAAAGAAAACCATACAGATGTAACACAACCTAGGTAGAATGCTATCATCATTCACAAGAAGCTGTCTGGCAAGTACTTAAGTAAGGTTTCTTTCCAACCAACTTTGTAGCTCTCTAGATCAAAGGTTCTTAAAGTTGAGGTCATATAAGTGAGTAGTTGGGGCTGTGAAAATTTTCCCCAAAAAGCATATGGATAAAGGAGAAGAATGGGTCTGCTGGTTGAAAAAGGGGGAAAGTGGTGTGTTTATGATATGTGATTTCAACTCTGCAGAATCGCAGGTTCAGGTTCCCAGCATACTTAGGCTCTGAAGGATCAAATTCAGACACAAGAGAGATGAAGGTAAGGATCAGAGGTTTATTCAACAGCCAAAAGTGGCTTTTGGAGAGACAGCACTCTGTATGAATCTGTTACTTTATCAGACAAAAAGTAACAGATTCATACAGAGAAATTTATAAAGAATTGACAGGTTGGCTTAATTTCCTATCTCTCTATGAGTTCGCCCTTACAATTAGTTCTCCCCCTTTATCTCACCCGGAGTTTTAAAATCATTTTATGTACATGTGGCCCGCCTTTTGTCTGTTTGTCATTATGCTTAATTCCTATGTTTTGTGTATATTGCTTTATATGCTTTGATGTTTTATATTTTACTGTTATGTTGTTTATTGATTGCAATTTGTATTGTTATATTGTAATTCTTGTTCGGGCTTGGCCCCATGTAAGCCGCTCCGAGTCCCCTTTGAGGAGATGGTGGCGAGGTACAAATAAAGATTATTATTATTATAATGTTTTTAAAAAGAACTTTTGCTGCTCCAGGCATTGATTGGTGCAAGTTATGATCTGCGCCCCGATTGGACACATACCAACTGCTATTGCAGATTATTGGTTTCCTGGCTTAGCATGAAATGTAATAAATCGTCATTGCTCTGTTTGTTGCTTGTGGCTATTTTCTGTGTCTGCCTTATTTGTGTGCGAGAGGAAAGTGTTGGCAATGACAACCTTCATCAAGGCTTCTCTAGCAATCTGTTTGTCTGTGATCTTGTTGCTTACTGTTTCCTGTATGTATGTTCTGGTGTGCAGCTTCCTTTGCTCTATGGTTTCTGAGAAGCTATAAAGAGGGGCTGCCGACCACATGCTTTTTCTCTCTCCTTTTGACTATGTGACCTGTTGATGGCTGTTTTGTTACAAGAGAGATGCCCTGGTCATCTCAAAGATATTTGAAACTAGACTAATACGTTTTTTGTAATACGTTTTTTGTACCTGTGTATGCTGAATACATGAAAGTTGTAAGTAAACCAAATATGTTATTTCCATCAAAGTCTACTTCATTTTTGTCTCTTGAGTGCATGATATGAAACAAGTTGTTATATGGGGGAGTATCTTTTTTGGACACTGAATAAAAACACTTCTAAAGCTCTGCTGTTTTTTATGCACTGGCAAATCTGTTTTCCTGACATATTGGAGATTGCTGGTTATTCAGGCTAACAACTGAAACCATTGCCTAGCACAATTATATTTGGTTGTACACCGCAAGAGGAGATTCTGCTCTAAAAGGCTTTTTGGCTCTTCTCTAAAAGGTTATGTTATCTGATAGAGGAGCCCCCGGTGGCACAGAGGGTTAAACAACTGTGCCGGCAGGACTGAAGTCCGACAGGTCACAGGTTCGAATCCGGGGAGAGGCGGATGAGCTCCCTCTATCAACTCCAGCTCCTCATGTGGGGACATGAGAGAAGCCTCCCACAAGGGTGATAAAAACATCAAATCATCCGGGCTTCCCCTGGGCAACGTCCTTGCAGACGGTCAATTCTCTCACACCAGAAGTGACTTGCAGTTTCTCAAGTCACTTCTGACACAACAAAAAAAATCTGATAGAAAGGAATTTGGGCAAGGTTCAGGGTTTGATAGGTTTAATCCTCTTCGCTGGAACTTCACAATGGATCCTGGCTGAGGAAACAATGGATGTCGAAACACCCTGAGGTGCTCCCAAGGACATACAGGCAGGGAATTGGGTAACTCAGAAACCTTCCACTATTACTCTGTTACAGTTGCCATCCACTTGCCTCATGTGATCAAATCCTAAGAATAGCTAGCAGTGGCAAAACCCTGAAACCTAACCTAACCAAGCTCTGAAAAAAAAAAGATATCACGCTTAGTTGTTCTGATTTCAATGTACAAAACACATAGGAAGATCAATTAACAATCATCAATTTGCCACAAAGCAGTGAAAACTGGTAAGAGCTTAGTAGAGAAAAAATTAATTACACTTCTCAATCCAATTAACATGACAAAACTTGCCTCTTCTTTAGACCAAATTGATAAACAGAAGATGAAAAATACCGTTAAGAACATGGTCTGTAACGCTCCAACATATTGCCAAACCACAGCAGAAGTCCCTTGGAACATGTGAAATCTTGTGATGGGGAATGCACATTAGTCAAGCATTTAGAGCTTTGTCCAAGCTTGAGACAACCTTGTGGTGGACACACAATCTGTAAGCTTTGATAAATGGATAACCGTATCCAAACAGCTGAGGATTGCTCACAGTGTCAAGAAAGCAGCAGAAGAGAATGCATCTTTTCTTTGAGATCCCGTTGTTCCTCCTTATTACCTTCTTCTCTTATTTAGAGGCCTTTCTCAAGCTTTTCATTCCTGCAAAGAAAAAATCTATCAGTGGAGAACTTGTCCTCATCACTGGATCCGGCCATGGACTTGGGAGAGCCACCGCTTATGAATTTGCGAAACGTCAGTGCAGTTTAGTTCTGTGGGATATTAACAAGGTAGGAGCAGCAAAGTTGTGAATGCAGTTCAAAATTTGTTCTCTGTTGTGACCCTGTTTGGAAGGGCTTTATGCTGAAAAGCATCACATAATATTTTGAAACATATTCTGCCCAGAGGAGGGTGACTAAAATGGTCAAGGGTCTGGCGAACAAGCCCTATGAGGAGTGGCTTAAAGAGCTGGGCATGTTTACAATAGATGATTGAGAGGAGACATGATGGCCATGCATAAATATGTCAAGGGAAGTCATAGGGAGGAGGGAGCAAGCTTGTTTTCTGCTGCCCTGGAGTCTAGGATGTGGAACAATGGCTTCAAACTACAGTAGGAAGAATTTCCTAATCGTGAGAGCTGTTCGGCAGTGGAACTCTCCGCCCTGGAGTGTGGTGGAGGCTCCTTCTTGGAGGCTTTTAAACAGAGGCTGGATGGCTGTCTGTCAGGGGTGCTTTGATTCTGATGTATGGTGCCCTTGGATGCATCTACACAGTAGAGTTAATGTAGTTTGACACCAATTAACTGGCATTGAATCAATGCTATAGAATCATGAGAGGTGTAGTTTTACAAGTTGTTTAGCCTTCTTTGCCAGATAATGCTGGTGTCTCAACAAAAAACAAATCCTGGGATTCCATAGAGTTGGGGCATAGCAATTAAAGTGTTATCAAACTGCAATAATTCTGTGCTCTATATGCACTCAGGTGCTGATTTTCACCTTTTTTTACTTCAGCCCCACCCATTGCTTGCCTGTAGTCATCAGAAGATTTCTGATGTGTTTTCTCACATTTTATGCTAAAACATTTTCCAAAGAAGTAAAGAGATGATATCAACTCAGTTTAAAGTAGAGCAGTCCTACATCAACTAAACTCATATTCTCAATTTCAGTGTATCATTTGGTCTACATTCCTATTGCTGTGACCAGGGGAATGAATTGTATGTTCCCCAGTACTCTGATATGTTTCTGAGGAATTCTTAATTGTAATTTTGCAGTTGAATACTGCCAACATTATGTACATTTGAAGTACAGTAGAGTCTCGCTTATCCAACCTTCGCTCATCCAACATTCTGTATTATCCAACAGTCTGCCTCCCACCCAAATCCACAGCCATTTCAATACATTGTGATGTTCTGGTGCTAAATTCATAAATACAGCAATTACTACATAACTTCACCATGTATTGAACTGCTTTTTCTGTGGATTTGTTGTAAAACATGATGTTTTGGTGCTTAATTTGTAATTTGACGTTTAATAGGCTTTCCCATGATGCCTCCTTATTATCCTACATTTTCACTTATCCGATTTCTGCCGGCCCAGATATGTCGGATAAGCGAGACTCTACTGAACTATACATTTCTGATGGATAAGCTATGTAAGCTATGTTAATCTTCAAGCGTTTCATACTATAGACATTCATTACATATAGTATTTTGTGTTTAAAAATTCTCCTACTTAATTCCTTAACAAAAACATATATACAGACAGGCATGTAGCCGGGGGGGGGGGGGGCTCGGGGGGCGTCTGCCCCCCACCCCCCGAAATTCTCATGGTGGTTCGCGAAAAGGCCTTACTGGGCATTATTTAAACTGTTATGTTTATTCATATCATGATCTGATCACCATACTCAATATATCCCATATGCATGGGGGTATTGGGGTAATGATACAAAAGGTTTGCTAGGGTAGACCCTCTTTCCCTCAGACTCAGCCCCCCCCCGAAACTCAGCCCCCCCGAACCCCCCCTGAAAAAAATTACCCCCCCCCCCCCCCCCCCCCCCCCGAAATGAAATCCTGGCTACGGGCCTGTATACAGAAGTTACTTTTTGGGTCTACAGATCCTAGAAACCAATTGAAGCTGACCATAGAGTTGCTCTGGAGAACCTTGAGATTTCTAGAGATAATATATTAATCAAATCCAAAATTAGTTAAATCCTCAAAAGTTAAACTGGCAAATGTAGAGGGTTGGATATAGTCAAGATATACACTCTGTGCCCTAGGAAAGGACCTGGGCCTTCAACAAGCTGTTTAGAATGTACCTTATTTTGCTGCAATGCTGTTTCTAGAACAGTATTTCTCAACCTGTGGGTCCCCAGGTGTTTTGGCCTACAAATTCCAGAAATCCCAGTCAGTTTACCAGATGTTAGGATTTCTGGGAGTTGGAGGCCAAAACATCTGGGGACCCACAAGATGAAAACAACTATTCTAGAAAGTCTCATGAGATTTGAACAATAGCACCATTGACAAAGGGCAATAGCCTTCCCTAAATGTCAATCTGCATCATGAAAAGGCAGGATATATATATGACTGAATTGTTATTGTAGTGATGGTGACAGTGGTCATTGCTTTCCATGTGCAGGATGGTGTTGAGGAAACAGCTGAAGAGTGCAGGAGACTGGGAGCCACAGCACATGCATTTGTGGTGGACTGTAGCAAGAAAAGGGAGATCTACAAAGCTGCAGAGAAGGTGAGACTTCAGTTCTGAAAGATTTTCTAAAACTTGAAAAAGATACCTATCTGTCTTGCTCTGTCTCAATCTCTGTCTGCATCTATCTGTGCCTTTCCCCCCTCTATCTCTTTTTCTGTCTCTATCTCTTTATCAACCTCTATCTCTTTATCTACCTCTATCTCTCTACCTCTGTCAGAAGGCTGACCATATAATGCAGCTCCAAACCAACCTGAGACCATGGTTGTCCCAAAACGCACACTACTAATACACACTGCGACATGATTAAATGCAAACTAGTGCACTAAAAGCATTCCAAGAAACTCCAATTTAAGGCATATAATGCACTGCGTTATATTAGGAGATACAGTTTTTCATTTAGTCTGGAGGGACATGAGAGAAGCCTCCCACAAGGATGATAAAAACATCAAAAATCATCCAGGCGTCTCTTGGGCAACGTCCTTGCAGACGGCCAATTCTCTCACACCAGAAGCGACTTGCAGTTTCTCAAGTCACTCCTGATGTGAAAAAAAAAATAGTCTGGACAGAAACTGTATAAATGGAAGCTCTAACTAAACTAAGCCTGCTGTATTTTGGATATGAGACAGCATGACCTATTATAAGTTAGCACTTATAAAAGTAGAATGTAATAGAAGAAGAGGAAGACTACATTACAGGTAGGTCCTAAATACCCTAAAGGCACCAGATCCTGTCTGATCTTGGAGGCTAAGCAAGCTGGTTAATTCTTGAATAGGAGACCACCAGGTGCTGTGGGCGGGAACTGGAAAAACCACCTGTGAATGTTCCTTGCTCAGAAAAATCAATTAAATTCATGGGGCACCAAAAGTTCTCAGACATCAACTGTTCTGCCCAAGTCTTGAAAATGAAGGCCATGGAATTCATCCACTTTGAGTTTGTCCCTGCAAAAAAAGACAATGTACAGGTCTGCATCTTGGGCTCCCACATGCAGGTTTATGTCTAAGGAACTCCATTGGCTGCCGTTCATTTTCCGGTCCCAATTCAAGGTGCAGGTTATCACTTACAAAGCCCTGAATGGTTTGGGACCCGCCTACCTTTCTGATTGCATTTCCTCCTATGAACCTGCATGATCCCTTCGATCTTTGGGGGAGGCCCTCCTTTCTCTCCCACCTTTGTCACAAGTGCAGCTTGGGGGGACGAGGGAGAGGTCCGTCTCTGTGGTGGCCCCTCGGCTCTGGAACTCACTTCCCAGGGAGATTAGGCAAGCACCCAGGCAGCCCTTAGGAAATGTTTAAAAACTTGGCTTTTTGGGTGTGCTTTTGAAGAATGAATAACTAATTCCCATGCCAGGTCCTGTCCCACTGTCAATTTGTTTTTCTGATGCACTTTATCTCATCCCTTAGTGAAGATTAACTTCACTAGACACAGCACTTTATCTACCTATCTCACCCATGGGTTTTACAATTTTTACCTTTCGCATTTGGCCCAGTTCACCCTTGTTTAAATCCTTGTATCGTGTTATACTCTGTTTTATTATGTTATTGCCAGTATTTTATTGTATTACCATGTTATTGTTTAGCATTTTTTACTTGATGTTATCATCTGTTTTAGTAAGTATTTTATTTTGCCTGAATTGTTTGGGCTTGGCCCCATCTTACCTGTCTCGAGTCCCTTCGGGGCAATGGTGGCAGGGTACAAATAAAGTTGTTGTTGTTGTTGCTGTTGCTGTTGTTATTATTATGTTGTCTCACTCTCAGTCAAGTAGTCGCTTAGAGAATATGTAGATAGCTTTCAGCATAGCATATTCATGTTCTTCTGAGAAGAGCCCTGCCAGATGGCTTTCTACCATAGTCCTAAAACTTATGCCACAGATTCCATTGCATCTAAGTCTTTCTGAGAGCTCTCTCTCCTTGGTCTGTTTTACTGCCAGTGGCTTAGAGAATAAAAATCCTTTTATAGGTATGGTAAACACTTCCCTAATATATATTCTTCACTTCATTTGAAAGGTCAAAGAAGAAATTGGTGATGTGAGCATTTTGATGAATAACGCTGGTGTGGTCGCTCCGATAGACGTGGTGTCCACTGATGACCATGATATTCAAAAAATATTTGAAGTCAACATTCTCGCTCATTGCTGGGTAATCATTGTTAAAATGTCTTATGTTGCTAGTTCCCTTCTGTTATAAGATCAAGTCTGCAAGCATGTTTATTTATTTATGTATTGTATCAGAAGCGAACCAAAGGTACAGTTATAATGTATTTAAAAAACATACACATTTTAAAAACTTGGCATTATACTAAATGTCGTTTGATCAGTAGCTGGCCACTTTGAGTGCCTCTGGTGTTGCTGTAAGAAAGTCCTCCATTGTGTGTGTGGCAGGGCTCTGAGGTCTCAGACCGCATTGTAATAGGTGGCCTGTGGTTTGCTCTTCTCCACACTTGCATGTCATGGACTTCACTTGGTAGCCCCATTTCTTAAGGTTGGCTCTGCATCTCGTGGTGCCAGAGCGCAGTCTGTTCAGTGCTTCCCAAATCACTCAGTTTTCTGTGTTCCGGGGGGGGGGGGGGGGGGGGAGTCTCTCATTTGGTATCAACCAGAGCTTCAGATTCTGGGTTTTAGACTGCCACGTTTGGACTCTCACTTGCTGAGCTGTTCCTGCGAGTATCTGTGCAAGCATATGAACATATGATAATGTTGCACTTGTACCTAGAACTATTGCATGGCTCAAGTTTAGCAGTAATATTCCCACAAAACACTACAGGGTGTTTTGGTGTTAGGGAATTTGTTATGGTCAGTAGCTATAACATTACAGCTCAGAAAGTCAAGCAAACTAATTTTATTTCATTATTGTCTAATTGTAGTCTTGTATTACGATTCAAAAGGCCTGGGTTCCACTTCTAAATGGATTCCATTTTCTGACAGCAGTCAAGTCCTTAAGGCTTGACATAACAGGGGGCTCTCTGCATTTACAGCTGACTACCTAGGAAGACAGGAAGGGAAAGATGTCTTTTAAAGTGGATTCATTCTCTAGTGTGATGAAGTAGTAGTTCTATTTCTCTCTATCCCCTCCCAGTGGTGAAGGCTCATTCAACAGGTATTGGTACTCAGCTAGCAAAAATCAAACATCTCAAGCAGCAAATGAAATGTAATGGCAGATCAAGCCATACCCTAAATGCTGCCAGTGATCCTTAAGGCCGGGTTCCATAACCAATCTATGTCTGTATTGGGCCAGGCTGTATAGCCTCATTCCTATCCTGAATCCTCATGTGCTCTTCTAATTACGTGAATACTTATTGTGTGTACATTTAAATTGAGTGATAAAATATGGCAAGTTGAGTTAGAATGTATCCATGCTGCAAAATTAACTTTTTTGGTTTGGTATTGTGATATTTATTACTACAAATTTACTATTGCAACTATAACTTCTCACATTAGCTATCATAGTCCCATCCTAAAGAATTCCAGGATTTCATGAGAATTACAGTTTACTTGCAAAGAATTCTGAGTATCCCATAAATTTCCAAAATTCCACAGGATAGTCAAAGTTGTATCAAAGTGTTATAGTACTGTTAAATGGATACATCCTCAGAATATTCTATTTGATTTTACAATGCAGCATGTATATATTGCTTTTCAGTCATAATATGGTTTTAATTGCTGTTTAAGTCAAATATAAGGAACAGTTGCTTCTTACTGACAGTTATTTCCCTCCACTTTTTGTTTACTTTCAGACAACAAAAGCCTTTGTGCCAACCATGATGAGAAATAACCATGGCCATGTTATCACAGTGGCCTCTGCAGGAGGCCATTTAGTCACACCTTTTCTTGTGGCTTATTGGTATGTATGACAAGAGTATTCCTAGAAACCCAAAATGATGCTTTTTCCAGTGCAATCACAGGAAATATTTCTGGAGATTTTGTATACTTACTTATTGTCTTCTTACAATTAACCTAGATGTTCCCTATGTTCACACATGATACAGAAAATTCTGACTTACTATGTTTGAGCACTACATTTTGGTATATTCAGCATCTGATGTTGCTTGACCACACATTGATGTTGCTTGTTCACATGTGCCTAGTTTTCACTTGGAAAGTATTGGGGAACAAATGTGAAATTGACCATATTCAACAGGATTAGTCAAAGTGCCAGATATTGTTGGTCCACAGCTCTCATCTAAATCGCCACCATTCAGGGGGCTTTGATTGTGCTTTTCCTGCAAGGGAGGGGATTAGACTGGGTGGCCCATTCGGTCACTTCCACAGAGGTATCTGCTTGTCCAATCTTGTGGGATTCTTTTAGGCTTGTTCTTCCTGAGACCATGGAAGAGGTCCTTGGGGCTGTGAGGGCGACCACTTCTAGACCCTTGCCCATCTTGGCTCATTAAATCAGCCAAGGAGGGGTTGGTTGATTGGTTTGTGTTGATCATTAACGCATCGTTGGAGCAAGGGATTTTTCCATCTAATTTGAAACAGGCTGTGGTTCGTCCACTCCTCAAAAAGGCTTCCCTTGACTCCACGGTGCTGAACAATTACAGGCCAATCTCCAACCTCCCTTTTTTGGGTAAGGTGCTGGAGCGGGTGGTCGCCTCCCAGCTCCAGGGCTTTTTGGATGACATCAACTACCTAGATCAGTCACAGTCTGGTTTCAGGCCTGGTCACGGCACCGAGACAGCCTTGGTCGCCTTGGTGGATGACCTCCGTAGAGAGCTGGACAGGGGGAGTGTGACTCTGTTGGTTCTCTTGGACATCTCAGCGGCTTTCGATACCATCGATCATGGTATCCTTCTGGGTCGTCTCTCTGGGATGGGTCTCGGGGGCACGGTTCTGTCGTGGCTCCGGTCCTTCCTGGAGGGTTGGTCCCAGATGGTGAAGCTGGGAGACGCCTGCTCGGATCCCTGGCCTTTGACCTGTGGGGTCCCGCAAGGCTCTATTCTGTCTCCCATGCTTTTTAACATCTACATGAAACCGCTGGGAGAGGTCATCTGGAGTTTTGGAGTTGGGTGCTGGATGAGTGCCTGGCTGCTGTGTCTATCTGGATGAGGAAGAACAAGCTGAAGATCAATCCCGACAAGACAGAGGTCCTCCTGGTTGATCGCAAACCGGATCGGGGTATAGGGTGGCAACCTGTGTTGGACGAGGTTACACTCCCCCTGAAGCCACAGGTCCACAGTTTGGGAGTCCTCCTGGATTCATCGCTCACGCTTGAGGCTCAGGCGTCGGCGGTGTCCAGGAGGGCTTTCGCACAATTGAGACTCGTGCGCCAACTGTGACTGTACCTCGTGAAGGCTGATCTGGCCGGGGTGGTCCATGCCTTGGTCACCTCTAGATTGGACTACTGCAATGCGCTCTATGTAGGGCTGCCCTTGAAAACGGCTTGGAAATTCCAACTGGTTCAACGGGCAGCAGCCAGGATGTTCACCGGGGCTCATTACAGAGAGAGGTCAACCCTCCTGTTCAAGGAGCTCCACTGGCTGCCGTTTATTTTCCGAGCCCAATTTAAGGTGCAGGGGCTTACCTACAAAGCCCTGAACGGTTTGGGACCACCCTACCTGCGTGACCGCATCTCCGTTTACGAACCCACACGTTCACTCCGGTCATCTGGAGAGGCCCTGCTCGTGATCCCGCCCGCGTCGCAAGCGCGCTTGGTGGAGACTCGAGACAGGGCCTTTTCTGTGGTGGCCCCCCGACTCTGGCAGTCTTCAGAAAGAACTTGAAGACCTGGCTGTTCCGATGTGCCTTTTCAGATTAGGAACCCCCAATACCAAGTCCTAGAAGCACTTATTAACTAAGATCACTGCACACCACACACTGCACTTACTTTATAATCCTATATACCTCCTGCCACATCAGCACTTTTAATCTTGTACCCATTACTCTGGCCTGGCCCAGTTTTATAGTAGTCTTGATGTCTCGATGTATTGTTATTGCTGTTGTTTATTCTGCTTAACTGTTTTTAATTTGCTCTAGGTATTGTATTGTTATATTGTGTTTTGAGGCCTTGGCCTATGTAAGCCGCATCGAGTCCTTCGGGAGATGCTAGCGGGGTACAAATAAAGTAATAATAATAATAATAATAATAATAATAATAATAATAATAATTCTATGATTCTATGTTGGACTTATCTCCACATGATTACATGGTTTCAATTTATTCTTTAGAAAAGAATTAATAAGACTGTAATAAGACAGAGCTAATTGTGCAAAATACTATACCCATATGTTCAAGATTCCCCATTTCCTGCATTTTATGTATGAGTATTACATGCTACTTAATAATGTCTGAATTCCTTTCCTTCTCCCCCCCCCCTCCTCCTCCTCCTCTTCTTCAGCTCATCTAAATGTGCTGCGGTCGGGTTTCACAGAGCTTTGACAGCTGAGCTGACTGCATTGGGGAAGCATGGAGTTAAAACATCATGTGTCTGTCCTATGTTTATAAAAAGTGGTTTTGTCAAAAATCCATCTTCACGGTAAGGAGGTGGGACACCAGCATTGAAAAAAAAACATCCTAACTTTACAAGTCTCCCCCTGCAGCTCCTGTCCTTTCCTCTTTCCCTTTTATCCTATAGCTCAGGGAAGGACAACCTGCAGTTCTTTAGATCAGTGTTTCTCAACCTGGAGGTCAGGATCCTGGGGGGGGGGGGGGGGTCACAAGAGGGTTTCAGAGGGGTCACCAAAGACCATCAGAAAACATATATTGTATGAGACTGGAGGGAGGCTTGCGTCAATGAGTGGAAAATGAAGTCAAAAATTAACTTGGCTTTTGGGTCAGTTGCCATTAGAGGTAAATGCCTTGAAGGCACACAACAAGAACAGTCCCATCTGTTGGGGAACATCTAGTTCTCTGTATGTTTTAAACTATAGCTTTATAATTCCTTATCATTGGTCATATAGTCAGGGACTTCTGGAAATTGAGGTCTTTGATTTGAAGACATCTGGAAAACTAAAGGTTTTCAACTCCTATAATCTCTCTTCATTTCTGTAAATTTTTTCTTGTATGAATTTGAGTTTTGGGTCCTGATCTTGCAAAATCTCTACTAGCCGAGATAAATTGTAGATGGTGTTAGGGTTGTCAGATGCCCCTTATTATAAGGGGTGTCCTTTATTTCAGAACTAGAAGGCTTGTCCTTTGTAGGGTTGGTAAAGGTAAAGGTTTCACCTGAAATTAAGTCCAGTCATGTCTGACTCTGGGGAGTTGGTGCTCAACTCTATTTCTAAGCCAAAGAACTGGCATTGTCCATAGACACCTCCAAGGTCATGTGGCCGGCATGACAGTATGGAGTGCCATTACCATCCCACCGGAGTGGTACTTATTGATCTTTTAAACAGAGGCTGGAGTTTTTAAACAGAGGCTGGATGGCCATCTGTCAGGGGTGATTTGAATGCAACATTCCTGCTTCTTGGCAGGGGGTTGGACTGGATGGCCCATGAGGTCTCTTCCAACTCTTTGATTCTATGATTCTATGATTCTATGATCCACTCACATTTGCATGTTTTCAACTGCTAGGTTGGCAGAAGCTGGGGCTAACAGCAGGAGCTCATGCCGCTCCCTGGCTTTGAACTTGCGACCTTTTGTTTAGTAGGTTCAGCAGATCAGCAGTTTAATCCACTGTGTAACCGGGGGCTGTGCCCCTTGTTAGAAGAGTTATGACCTATTTGAGAGCTGGAAAACTATACTTTCTATGTGGACTTTATGTAATTTATATGGATGTGAACAATATGCTAAGTTGATTGGAAGGGATACTTGCATTTGACGTAGAACACAGATTTGTTTGTAGCTGCTTTCCAATTGTCATTTTCGCACATCCATGAATTTTAAGAGTCCCCATTGCTAATTTGAAACTCCGGCAATACTTTATGCAGTGGTAATGCAATGACTTTTTAAAAAATTCAGGTTCATGCCACCTATGGAGCCAGAGGATGTTGCAAAACAAGTAATGAAGGGTATATTAACCAATGAGAGAATGATTTTCATTCCACCACTTCTGAAATTCATATTAATGCTGAATAGGTGAGTATTGTGATTAAAAATAACCATTTGCTACATCTTCCCATTTAACAACTCAAACCTAATTAAATATTCTCTTCATTGAGCTTTTTGGTAATTCAATTTAGAAGAACTATGTTAACACTTTCTCCTTCTTCCTCCTCAGATTGCTTCCAGACCGGTCATCCGCAGCTCTCTGGAAGCTACATGAATTTAAATTTGATTATATGATCGGCTACAAGGACGAGGAAAACTAGGGGAATGGATTTGTCTATTCAGTTTTTATTTTAGCCTTTAATGCTTTCATGTTTTAAATAAGGATAAAATTGAACCTAAACCAGGTTGTATTAGTTTACATATCCCATTCCCCGCCTCCCCTTATCGGCCACATTGCTCAGATCTGTAAAAACTGGAGAGCACCAAATTTGAGAAAAATCAAAACAATTGAGAAATGTCGTATGCATGAAACTCTTAGAAAATAACCTTCCACACGCACTATATATATTTGTAGAATTGAAATTACATTTTTTCTTGGAAATACAATAATGCCCTATCTCTTAATTTAATAACTGTGATTGACAAATTGGGTTTTTTTTTCTTAACAGAGAAATTGTGAATTTCTTTTTTTTTCTCTTTCAAATAAAGCCCCGAATTCAATCACTTTAAAGCAGGGTTGGAAATTTTGTGACCCAATGTTATTGATATTATTGTCAAGATCAGTGGTTCCCAATCTTTTCTTGACCAGGGCCCATTTTGAACAGAGACCACTTTGACCAAAGAATCTCTCTTCCCCGTGGCTTCCTCTCACATATTTATACATGGCTATCATATCTCCTCTCAACCTTCTCTTCTTCAGGCTAAACATACCCAGCTCCTTAAGCTGCTCCTCATAGGGCTTGTTCTCCAGACCCTTGATCATTTTAGTCACCCTCCTCTGGACACATTCCAGTTTGTCAATATCTCTCTTGAATTGTGGTGCCCAGAATTGGACACAATATTCCAGGTGTGGTCTAACCAAAGCGGAATAGAGGGGTAGCAATACTTCCCTAGATCTAGATACTATGTTCCTATTGATGCAGGCCAAAATCCCATTGGCTTTTTTTGCCGCTACATCACATTGTTGGCTCATGTTTAACTTGTTGTCCACAAGGACCCCAAGATCTTTTTCACATGTACTGCTCTCAAGCCAGGCGTCCCCCATTCTGTATCTTTGCATTTCGTTTTTTCTGCCTAAGTGGAGTATCTTGCATTTGTTGAAGGGATGACTCTTCAACATTAGTACCAAAAAGGGTTGGGGCTGGTCAGCTCTTTGGAAAGGAGTGGAAATAGAATAAATAAAATTTAATAAATAAATAAAGGAGGAGGAGGTTCATGGACTGAATTGTCATTCTCATGGCCCACTGCCGGGTTGCGGCCCACAGGTTGGGAACCACTGGTCTAGATCAAGGAAATTCATAGTCCTGCTATCTTCTGCTTTGGTCAGAGATCACCTTGAATACTATGCCCAGTTCAGGTGCCACAATTCAAGAAAGATTTTGACAAACTGGAACATGTCTAGAGGAGAGTGACCAAAATAGTCAAAGGTCTAGAAACCATGTCCTTATGAGGAATGGCTTAGTAATTTGAGTATGTTTAGTCTGTCAAAGAGAAGGTTTAGAGATCACATGATTGCCATGTTTAAACATTTGAAACAAAGTCATACTGAAGATGGAACTGGCTTGCTTTCTGCTGCTCCAGAGACTAGCGTCCGATTTACACTACCATATAACACAGCATCAGAATGCAAATTAACTGCATTGAACTGGATTATATGGCATTGTAGACTGTGGTCTCTTCCAATTCTATGATTCTATGAATTGCAACTTCCAGCATTTCTCATCACTGGCTATGCTTGCTAAAATGGCTGAATTCACAGAATTCCAGAATTCCCACTTGTGTTTTAGGAAAAAAAGTAAGGTATTCTAGAGGGCTTCTTAAATGGTGGGTCCCAACCTCATGCAAGGTGTCCTTAGCTCAATGTTGGGGTCACAAAAAATTGGCAACATTAAATCTGATAACAACAACAAGCAGTGTTTACAGTTGACTCTGTAGAAAATGCTCCATCTGTACTTCATTATAAGAGAAAATCAGCCTGTTTAGAAAGCTTTGCAAATGCTGATTTATTATAAGTAAATATTTGATTTTATACCTATTTTATATAACTGTGTAAAAATTACTTGGCTAGAAAGGAGCCATGAATGGAAAAAGTTTAAGATGCCTTGTGCTAGATGAGAGCTGAAATGCCCCAAAAAGAGTTCCTGCAGCTCTATCCTCAACAATGTAGTAAAGTTCAGTATATAAACACAACTATAAAATAAATATTTCTGTTGTACATTGTGGCAGTACATTGTGCATTGTGTCACCTCAAATATACATGCAACGGCACCTAGCTTTCTGCATTCCTCAGCCGTCTCTTCCACACATTGCTGTGAAGGAAAAGCCATGGAAACCATCAATATGATGTTGGCATGGAGATAGTATACATGCAAAGGTTTAGCATAGAAACCACACTTTCCTGTTCATCATCACTTGAGATTTTAAGCAGTCAGGTAGTGATAGTATGTACATATTGTAATCTTGTAGATAGCTGAGATTAGTTATCCTAGGGCTTTTCCACACTGCCCCTTTATCCCAGAATCTGATCCCAGATGATCTGTTTATCCCAGGTTATCTGGCAGTGGGGACTCATATATTCTGGGATAATTGGGATGAGATCCTGGGATAAAGGGTGTCTGTTTTAGCTTAGGTGGTGCTGTTTTAGCCAGTCTCAATGGGCAACCCTTCTGTCTCCATAAAGCACGCAGCAAACTCTTCTCAGCTACTGGAAGCAATGTTTATCTCCTTGCTCCGAAACTTCCTTGCTTCTGGATCCTGGCTATTCTTTTCCATATCACCCTGCCTATGTTGTCACCTTCACATTGCATATTTATTTATTTCAGGGTTGCCTTGGGTCCGTCTTTCTCCCGGCGGACCCAAGGCAGTTCACAACATCATTAAAATATACAAAGTAACATAAAAACATTAGCTAAACCAGATCATAAAAGTTGCAAAAATGTTCCATAGCATCATCTATCTTGTAAACAGTAAAATTAAATTACCGTATATCCTTGAGTATAAGCTGACCCGAATATCAGCCAAGGCACCTAATTTTACTACAAAAATACTGAGAAAATATATTGACTCTGGTACGTATAAGCTGAGTGTGGGAAATGCCGCAACTACTGCTAAATTTCAAAATAAAAATAGATGCCAGTAAAACTACATTCATTGAAGACATCAGTAGGTTAAATGTTTTTGAATATTTACATAAAACTAATTTAAGATAAGACTGTCCAACTCGGATTAAACCATTATTCTAACCTTCTTCAATGTATATGTGCTTACATATCCTTCCAATAATAATAAAGAGAGTAAAATAATAAATGTAATAACATAATAATAGAATAAAATAATATAAAGGCAATAATAATAATAATAATAATAACACAGTAAAATAATAAATAACTGATTCAAGTATAAGCCGAGCGGGGCTTCTTCAGCCTTAAAAAAGGGCTGAAAACTTGGCATATAATTGAATATATACAATACATTAAAATCCTACTAATATTACATGAGCCCATAAAGTTCTAGGACTTGGCTAAGATTCGATTAAAGGTTGTTTCAGCCAGTTTACCAGCTTTTAGGATTTCTGGTAACTGAAGGCCAAAAATATCTGGGGACCCACAGGTTGAGAACTACTCTCTTACCTATTTCTCTACTCTAGATGAGCGGTGCTTAGTTGGAGGCAGGTGTGTATGCTTTCTGGGCCTGCACACCACACACACACTCTTTCCAAGGCAAGGAGGCAAGTTCCATTTCAGAGGAAGTGTTTGGCTGTAGGCAGGCAGGCGGTCTTGCCAGGCCTGCACACCACACACACACTCATTCCAAGGCAAGGAGGGTGCTCAGGAAAAGCTGCAACTGGGATTGGCTCCTGCTTGCTTTTGTGTTGAGCTGATTTTTGTATCAGGAGGGGGCTTGCTGTTATGTGCTCCTGAAGGTAACGGAAGTAATGAAAGAACAGATGTAATGAAGGAAACAGATTTGTGCACAACTCTATGATTCATCATCTTCCAAAATTGGTTTCACCATAAGAGCAATGAGCACCCCTAAATGATGTGATGTTAGCCAAAGGAAAAGTGATATATCAGCCCTTAGGATTTTACAAGTGATTTTGAATAATAGGCCCTTAGAATCATAGAATCATAGAATCATAGAATCAAAAAGTTGGAAGAGACCTCATGGGCCATCCAGTCCAACCCCCTGCCAAGAAGCAGGAATATTGCATTCAAATCACCCCTGACAGATGGCCATCCAGCCTCTGTTTAAAAGCTTCCAAAGAAGGAGCCTCCACCACACAGAGAGTTCCACTGCTGAACGGCTCTCACAGTCAGGAAGTTCTTCCTAATGTTCAGATGGAATCTCCTCTCTTGTAGTTTGAAGCCATTGTTCCGCGTCCTAGTCTCCAGGGCAGCAGAAAACAAGCTTGCTCCCTCCTCCCTGTGGCTTCCTCTCACATATTTATACATGGCTATCATATCCCCTCTCAGCCTTCTCTTCTTCAGGCTAAACATGCCCAGCTCCTTAAGCCGCTCCTCATAGGGCTTGTTCTCCAGACCTTTTATCATTTTAGTCGCTCTCCTCTGGACACATTCCAGCTTGTCAATATCTCTCTTGAATTGTGGTGCCCAGAACTGGACACAATATTCCAGATGTGGTCTAACCAAAACAGAATAGAGGGGTAGCATTACTTCCTTAGATCTAGACACTATGCTCCTATTGATGCAGGCCAAAATCCCATTGGCTTTTTTTGCCGCCACATCACATTGTTGGCTCATGTTTAACTTGTTGTCCACGAGGACTCCAAGATCTTTTTCACACATACTGCTCTCGAGCCAGGCATCCCCCATTCTGTATCTTTGCATTTCGTTTTTCCTGCCAAAGTGGAGTATCTTGCATGTTCCAAACCTTATGTACCTGTGTACCCTTAAATGTTCCAAACGTTATGTACCTGTGAATGAAACTGGATTCTTATTTTCAGGGTGGTTGTTTTTGAAGATGGCAATAGTTAAAAATTTAGGTACTATAGACTTATTAACTTTCGGAATGCAGCCTCTAAAAATGTACTTTGAATATATGTATAATGCATAAATGAAGGGGCTGGTATGGGGGGGGGGGAGAGAATATTCTTACCAATGAAGCATGCATAAGCAGAATTTTGTAAGGTTCAAAGTACAACAGAATATTTATTTTGGCAAAGCATCAGTACATTTGGCAGAGAAGGCTAAAAACCTTGCAAAACTACAACCCCCATGATTTGATAACATTCAATCATATCAGTTAAAGCAGTGTCAAATTGAATTATTTATACTTTGTAGATTTGCCCTATGTTACATACTTTTTGCCTTAGGTTGGCAATTTGGGTTTGGTAATGGGTCTTCTTTATTTGCTTCTTCCTTATATAACACTAGCCAACCCCTGCTATGCGTTGCTGTGGCCCAGTCTGTGTATATGTGTTTTGTGTGTGTGTGTGTATGTGTATATGTGTATATATGTGGTTTTGCATATGCATTGTAATGTATTTTTTATGGCTTTTAAAGTCTTTTCCATTCTGTTTTTCAGTGTTTTATGAGTGGTGGTCAATCGTTGGACTGATAGGTGTATTGTGTCCAAATTTGGTGTCAATTCATCCAGTGGTTTTTGAGTTATGTTAATCCCACAAACCAACTGCATTTTTATTTATATAGACTTGGAAATCCATCTTCCATTAAACTTACCCTGGAAGGTGTGCAGACCAGACCAGGCACTTATGGGGCTGAGGGTTGGTGTGGGGGTCAGAGGGATGAAAGGGTGATGTAGCACCGGGATTGTGGCGCAGCTGGCTGAGTGTCAGCTGCATTAAGATCACTCTGACCAAAAGGTCATGAGTTCGAAGCCAGCCCGGGTTGGAGTGGGTTTCCAACCAATTGTGTAGCCCGTTGTCGACCTTTGCAACCCGAAAGACAGTTGCATCTGTCAAGTAGGAAAATAAGGGACCACCTTGTGTGGGAGGCTAAATTTAACTAATTTATGAGGCCATAAAGAAAGAAGACTCCGGGGAATGTGGAATGCGGAAGAACTTCATCGGTGTCGTTGATGGACGATGAAAAGCAGCAGCTCCCCTGGCGGCCAGAAAAAAAAAAGTTAAATAGCCTTTGTCTGTTAAATGTTGTTTGTCAAACTGGCATTGAATGTTTGCCATATATGTGTTTACTGTAATCCGCCCTGAGTCCCCTGCGGGGTGAGAAGGGCGGAATATAAGAACTGTAAATAAATAAATAAAATAAATGTATACAAGGGAAAGAGAGGGGAAAGCCCCGCTCCAAGGGCCGTGGGGGGGGGGGGCCGGGACCATACAGGCCATGTAGCCATCAGGCCGGTTGCGGGAGGCCAAAGCAGGAGAGAAAGACACAGGAGTCAAGTAAGATACAAAGAAGCAAGATTAAACTGAGGTATACATTTATTAAAAGGTTAAAATGTAATGAAACTAATCAAATGGGGTAAGACTATAGCAGAAAGTATCTCGGGGGCTGGTACCTGCTGACAGGCTCCTCTAGACCATCTTAAATTAAGGGTTCTTGCCTGTTGTGGCTTGTCCCCACTGCGGTCCTAGAGAGATAATTTAATATAATTTGATCTACGCTCGACCACACCTCTTCTTTGAATTCAACTGGTAAATGCAAGAGGCAAAAATACTGTTCTGCAAAAATACCATTCTGCAACATTGCCTGGTGAAGTTCCAACATGCTGCCTAACCACAACATTCCTTGAAATGCGCCCCACCTTGTGTGGAAAACCAATTCATCCCTTACTAATCACGTAATTTGAGCTTGGTGCAAGCTTAAAAACCATGCGGTGGAGAGGCAACCTGTAAGCTTCAATGTCTGATAAATGAATAACAGTATCCAAATAGCTGAAGATTGCTCATACTGCCAAAAAGCAATTGAAGAAAATGCATCTTTTGTTTGAGATCCCGTTGTTTCTCCTTATTACCCTCTACTCCTATTTAGAGGCCTTTGTCAAGCTTCTCATTCCTGCAAAGAAAAAATCTATCAGTGGAGAACTTGTCCTCATCACTGGATCCGGCCATGGACTTGGAAGAGCCACAGCTTATGAATTTGCAAAGCGTCAGTGCAACTTAGTTCTGTGGGATATCAATAAGGTAGGAGAGGCACAATTGTGGATGCACTTTTGGCATTTGTTCTTTATTGTGATCCTGTTTGGAAGAGATTTCTCCTGTAAAGAGTCATATAGTAATTGTACTTGAAAATTAAATTAAAACATTTAAAACAGTATTTTTGGAATCCTAAAATACTTGTTGTTCTTGTTATGATTTTTTTTCATGTCAGGAGCAACTTGAGAAACTACAAGTTGCTTCTGGTGTGAGAGAATTGGCCGTCTGCAAGGACATTGCTCAGGGGACGCCCAGATGTTTGATATTTCACTATCTCATGTCCCTGCATGGAGAGCTGGAGGTAACAGAGGGAGCTCATCCATGCTCTCCCCAAATTTGAACCTCCGACTTGTCGGTCTTCAGTCCTGCTAGCACAATGGTTTAACCCATTACATCACCAGGGGCTGCTCTTGTTATGATGTTTCCAATCAACTCTGAATTATAGTGACCTTGACTGCATTTACACTGTAAAATTCATGTCGTTTCACACGGCTTTAGCTGTCATTACTCAATGGTGTGGATTCATGAAAGTTGAAGTTTATTGAGACACCAAGTGCTCTTTGACAAACAAAGCTAAAGACCTTTTAAAGCTTCAACTGTTATGATCCCATAGCATTGAGCCACAGATGTTAATGTGGTGTCAAATCGCATTAATTCTATAATGCAAATGAATCCTTGACCAAAAGGTTTTCTTGAGATGAATTATTCAGAGATAGTTAGCCATTGCCTTCTCCTGAGGCCAAGAGAATGGAACTTGCTCAAGATCACCTAGATGTACATTAGATTGTGCTTTCCGAAAGTTGTAATCCACACTCAAGCCATCAAGATTAAGATCTCATTCTAATTTAAACTTAATGAAAGTTTATTGGAGAAGACATGAAGGGGAATTCATATTCCCTACAATCAACTTAGTTGCACTCTCAAAGTGAGATTTTCCCACATACATTAGCAATTATACCTGCAAATTAAGCCCATGTTCACCTTCCAATGCCCAGTCATAAAATAAAGAGCACTGATATCAGATTAATATCTGAAGAAAATCCTATGCTATGGCAAACAGACTTCTTTGCTTATTTCTAGAAACAAGTTAATATATTAATAATTATTTTTTGCTTCTGAAAGGGTAAACCCCTGAAGAGCTATCCAGCTATGTCTACCTGTTAATCTTTAAGCTTTTCTGACTTTGACCTCAGTATAATATTTTAATGGTGAAACTTTCTCTTACTTTCTCTTTTTCTGCTTCTCAATTATCCTACAATAACATATATCCAAAAGATAGAAAGTTAATTTTGGGGGACTACAGATCTTAGAATCTGATGAGAATTGACCATAGAGTTGACCTGTAGGACCTCAAATTTACAGAGAGGACACATTAACCAAATCAATGATTAGTCAAATCCTCAGAAGTTAAACCAGAAAATGTAAAAGGTTTTGTATAGTTAAGATATACACCTCTGTGTACAGGAAAGGACCTGGGCCAGCAACAGGCTGTTCTGACTATACTTTATTTTGCTCTCATGTTACTTCTAGAAGATATTATAATAGAAGCATATATAGAGCAATAGCTTCCCTCGAATGCCCACAAAGATATACATTTTTTTCTCACTTTCTTCCTTTCTGGAACTGAAATTGGTCTGTATGGATCCTTGAATTCCAATAATAATAATAATAATAATAATAATAATAATAATAATAATAATTTGTTACCCTTCTCTCCCTGAGGCTCAAGGTGGGATACAACATCATTAAAACAAGAGATAAAACACTATTAAAATGTACAGAATAAGATACACAGAGTTAAAATACAAATTAAAGCACACTGATGAAATGCAGATTAAAATTCACAACTTAAATCAATTGGGTTTGGCTGCTGGAAGAGATGGGTCTTAAATTCCAACAACTGGTTTAGCTGTTGAACCTCTTATGACAGGTTTCATATTCTTTGGCTTGCTGATGAAAAGGTTTTCTGGGTGACGGTTACCACTTGGGTTCTGGCAGACTGGAGTAGACACCCTTCAGAGGACCTAAGTTTGCAGGGTGGATTGTATGGGAGAAGATGAACCAAATATTGTGGTATTTGGGCTCGGCCTCATGTAAGCCGCACCGAGTCCCTTGGGGAGATGATAGCGGGGTACAAATAAAGTATTATTATTATTATTATTATTATTATTATTATTATTATTGATAACCCAGACTCAAACCATGGAGGGCTTTAAAGGTCAAAACTTTGTACTTTGGGTTACTGTGGATATTTTGGGTTGGATGTCCATGTTCCAGTAGCATTCTCTCTTATTGTTTCACCTGTGTCTGTGGCTGGCATCTTCAGAACCTCTGAAGATGCCAGCCACAGATGTGTTATCGAACATCACTACCCCCTCCACACATAAAAGAGGATTTATAGTTAGGGATTTATAATTTGGCAAGGACATCATGCTGAAATGGTATAAAAGGGATTAAGTCTTGGCCACCTTTCAACAGGACTAACAGCAGCAAGGATCCCCTTCCCATGCTAGATTGGTGTACATTTTTATCAATATATGTGTGTGTGTGTAGCAGAATTTGTAGCAAATTTGCTGGAATCCTGATTACAGGTGACATTGACCTCTGCTTGACCTGTCATAACAGGTATACTGCCCAGGTATTGTGTCACACTGAGAACCGGCCCGAGGCAATTCCAACACCTTTGCTCAGGTAGTCTGGGAAAGTCATGCTCTCATCATCTCCAGGCAGCCAGGGAAAACCAAGATAACTGCTATATTTTATTTCTGTATTATGTGTGTGTGTTTGTCACTCATTTCTCAAATCTAAAATATATAAATTATACCTTTACTTTTCCTTATTTATAAATGTGCCATATATATATATATATATATATATACACATACATACATACACACACACACACACACACACACTGTATAAACTGCCTGGTTCAGGCCACAGAGCTATTAATGAAGAATGCTTCCCAGTCTCAGGCAAAGAATATAACAAAAGATAGCAATAGCTCAATAGACATCTTTGTTTACTCAGCCCAGCCATTGTTCTCCAGGGCCTGGGTTTCATAATTCCTGGACCCCTGCTGGCCTGGAATGCAGCACTCTTTTCAGATTCCTCTCTACCCACAGAGCTTTCCCCATCTGGTTGGGAGGGATTTCCAGCTACATCATTGGAGCTCAGCCAACCAGAAACAAGAGGGATGTCTCAAACTGAACAATGGACTTGGTTGTATAAAAACTGTTGTGCAGAGCACATGCTCTCTATTCTTGCACCTTTAGGGCAAAAGCCCTGCTTGCAAGATGGAGTGTGAAGTTCCCCAACTTGGTACAGAGGTAGACAAATATAAACCGTATTGCAGAAGTCCACCCTTGAGGTTATCAGCATGTATCCCACCCCCAATGTTTGGATCATAAAAAGGTAATTGAAATAAATAATACATAGGAAATATGTATCATGTTGTGGAAGCACAGAATACATTGATATTATTGCTGTTGTAATGCTGATTGTGGTGTTGACAATGGTGATTGTCACCATGCTTTCCAAGTGCAGCATGGTGTTGAGGAAACAGCTGAAGAGTGCAGAAAGCTGGGAGCCACAGCACATGCATTTGTGGTGGACTGTAGCAAAAGAGAGGACATCTACAAAACTGCAGAGAAGGTAAGACTGAAGTTCAGAAGTATTTTCCAAAGCTTGAAAAAAATCTGTCCCTGTGTGTACCTTTTCACCTCTTTTCCCCCTCTCTCTCCTTTTATCTCTGTTTCTATTCATCTATCTACCCTGCCTTTCTCTCAACCTGGGAACCAAGGTATCTCATACCATGAATTAAAACAAGGTATCCTATTGATTAAAAATATTTAAGAACAATTCCACTATCAATAGATTTCTAAGTAGTTACAAATACTTTTTGTTGTCGTTATTGTTGTTTTAAAGGCCTCCTATTAGAGGGAATTCTACAGCTTAGAGAAATGCACCAAGAAGGATCACTCACAGGTCGTCAGTAAACTTACCAGTGAGAGTGGTCAAACTCTTCCTGTTGGGTCGTAAAAACCAAAATAGGCCCATATTACAGTCTTTCAATTATTTTCTGGAAATATAAGTTCTCACCAGATATCTGGGTAATTCGATATATATTTACCTGGATACATACACAGAGAGGGGGGCTGCCATATTTTGGACATGAGATTATGTTGTCAAAAAATCTCACACACCCTTTCCAAAAGATAAACTCAACACAACACAGTGAGTGACACCAAATAACCTCTCCTAGCAATTGAACTGCATAGGGGACAGAGCTGAGACAGAGTGTCAAATAAAAATGCCCTAGCAAAGCTGGGGTGAAAATTGCTGGAAGAAACATTAACAACCTCAGATATGCAGATGACACCACTCTGATGGCCGAAAGCGAGGAGGAGCTGAGGAGCCTTCTAATCAAGGTGAAAGAAGAAAGCGCAAAAACTGGGTTGCAGCTAAACATAAAAAAAACCAAGATTATGGCAACAAGAATGATTGACAACTGGGAAATAGAGGGAGAAAATGTGGAGGCCGTGACAGACTTTGTATTTCTAGGCGCAAAGATTACTGCAGATGCAGACTGTGGCCAGGAAATCAGAAGACGCTTACTTCTTGGGAGGAGAGCAATGTCCAGTCTCGATAAAATAGTAAAGAGTAGAGACATCAGACTGGCAACAAAGATCCGCCTAGTCAAAGCCATGGTATTCCCTGTAGTAACCTACGGATGTGAGAGCTGGACCTTAGGGAAGGCTGAGCGAAGGAAGATTGATGCTTTTGAGCTGTGGTGCTGGAGGAAAGTGCTGAGAGTGCCTTGGACTGCGAGAAGATCCAACCAGTCCATCCTCCAGGAAATAAAGCCCGACTGCTCACTGGAGGGAAGGATACTAGAGACAAAGTTGAAGTACTTTGGCCACCTCATGAGGAGACAGCAAAGCCTAGAGAAGACAATTATGCTGGGGAAAGTGGAAGGCAAAAGGAAGAGGGGCCGACCAAGGGCAAGATGGATGGATGGCATCCTTGAAGTGACTGGACTGACCTTGAAGGAGCTGGGGGTGGTGACGGCCGACAGGGAGCTCTGGCGTGGACTGGTCCATGAAGTCACGAAGAGTCGGAGACGACTGAACAAATGAACAACAACAACAACAGTACCGTCCCAGACCTTCAAGTTTGCCCTTCCAAGAAAGACCAGAAGTCTTAATGTACAATTGTGCATCTTGGGTTCCCATATGTTGGCTTATATTGATATTGTTCCCTCTCTTAGTAAAGTAAGCACCAAAAGAACATGTGGGTTGATTTTAGCATGACATGTTCATCTGAGGCTGGATCTACACTGCAATATAATACAGTTTTATAATGTATATAATGCAGATTAACTTCTTTGAATTGGATTATATAAGTCTACATTGCAGTTAATCAGCATTCAGAAACTGGTAGTGTAGATGCAGACTTTTAAAAGCCCTGTCAAATGACTTTTTGCCATGGTCTGCAATTTATGCAACAAATTCCAGCACAGATAGCCCTCCCTTATAGCTCTGTCTCCTTGGTCTGTTTTACAACCAACTGCTTATAGAGTCTGAATAAAAAAGATCCAGCTCCAAGTATGATAGACCCTTCCTTAATCCATATTTTCAATTCATTTTAAAGGTCAAAGAAGAGATTGGTGATGTGAGCATTTTGATGAATAACGCCGGTGTGGTATCTCCAATAGATGTGATGTCCACTGATGACCGTGACATTCAAAAAACATTTGAAGTCAACATTCTTGCTCATTATTGGGTAATAATTGTTAAAGTGTCTTTGTTGTTAGTTCAGCCCTGCTGTAAGACCAAATTGGTGAGCAAATGAACATGTAACAGGCTAAACTGACCCTCAATTGATGCAGTTGTTCTCAGATCTACTCCGTGGCTCAGATTGAACAGGAATACCCACAAGCATTACAGGGTGCATTGATTTTAAGGAATTGATGGTGGTCAGTGGCTGTAACATTACAGCTCAGAAAGTCAAGCAAATTTTTAATTTTATCTCAGCATCATCTAATTTTACTCCTGTTTTTTCAAGCCAAAACATTGTGTTCTACTTTTCAACTGATTCCATTTTCTGGCATTGGTCCAGTTCCTAACATGTCAGATAAGTGGGAGCTTCCTGGATTTATAGCTGGCTAATAGCCCCCGGTAGCACAGTGGGTTAAAGCCCTTAGCTGCTGAGCTTGTTGGTTGAAAGGTCACAGGTTCGAATCCGTGGAGTGGCATGAGCTGTCAGCCCCAGTTTCTGCCAACCTAGCAATTCGAAAACATGCAAATGTGAGTAAATCGCTTGGTAACGCTCTGGCGGGAAGGTAACGGCGTTCCTTGCAGTCATGCCGGCCACATGACCTTGGAGGTGTCTATGGACAACACTGGCTCTTCGTCTTAGAAATTGGGATGAGCACCACACCCCAGAGTTGGACATGACTGGACTCAAACCTTTACCTTTACCTAATAGAAAGACAGAAAGGAAGTTACATTTCTCTCTATCACATCCTACTAGTGAAAGTTATTTCTAATGAGTTTGGTGCTTAGCTAGCAGAAAAGCCAATGACTCAAGTAGCAAATCAAATGTAATGACAGTTTACAACATTCCCTGAAAGCCACCAGTGATTCACATGATCAGCTTCCACCATCAGTGTCCTTCTGCAATGTCCTTTTTATTTATAGCTCCATTCTCAGTTTGAGCTGTCATGTATTCTTTTGAAATATATGAATACCACTTATGTTTTCATTTAAACTGAGCAACAAAATATGAGATGTTGAGACTGTAACCACACTGTGTGGGCAGATAATAACAATAATGTCTGGCATTACTACTGTAGTTCAATCCTAGGATTTCATGAGATACTTACAATTCTCTTTCAGAGAGCTCCGGTGCTGTAGCTCAAGCAAAAACATTAGTGACATCTAACCATCTCATAAAACTACCAATCCCAGAATGCACGGGAAACTTAGAATTCTGTAGTAAGTAAAGAATTAGAAGTCTCTTGTAAAAAAATTCTGAGTATCCCATGAATTCCCATAATTCCATAGAAAAGGCAAAGTGGTGCCATAGTGCCATAATGGTGTAAAACATCTGAATAATATTGTTTTATGTTAGTAAAGGTAAAGGTTCAGTTGTGTCCAGCTCTGGGGGTTGGCGCTGTAAAAGCTTGTCTGAGTTTAGGGAATGTAAGGTTGGTGGGGTACATAGCCCATTCATGGTCAAATTTGTACCACCTGAACCATGTTGAGAATTTGGAGCTGTTAATAGCCTGTCTGTCCATTTGAATGCCTTGATTGTATATGTATTCATGCAGCTTCTCTCTTGAGTTCAAGATTGAAGGCTTATGAGACATGGTAGGGTATACTTCCATCAATTTCTGATGTTTTGAGCTCTAGATTTTGCATTCTGATAGATGTTCAAAGCATAGCTTTGGGAAAACCTTAGTTGAGGAATCCTTTATGATTCTCCAATACTTGTCTAGGGAAAAGTGAATGTGGGATCTTACGGAGTGTAGACCAACCTCTGCCCTGACCAAGGCTGTTGGAATGCCAGGTGGGAGTCTCAGCAGTTTCTTGAGGAATGTGTTTTGGAGGACCTCCAATTTCAGTATCTGTGAATTATCCCATCCCCAGACTGCTGCGCCATACAGAATCTGGGTGATAACTTTGCTCTTGAATATTTTCAGAACTGGGGCAACCAGACGGCCCCCTGCCGTATTATAAAATCTTAGGATTCCTCTGATAGGTTTTAGTACCACTGCTGTACTATGCTTTGTATGGGACTTCCATGATAGATTTGCTGAAAAATGTACTCCCAGGTACCTAAATTCCCTGCATTGTTCAGTCTCCTCTGTTGGTGACATAGGTGTAGGCACCTTCCATTCTATCATACTGGATTCCATTAAGACATTGCAAATTATGGAGGGATAGAATCTCTAAAAATCTCCTACCTGATTTGTTGCTGTTTGAGTCTTGAGAAACCCTAGCAGCAGGTGTAACCTGGAAATTTTGCCCAAAATTTGTGCTCTCCACCTGTTTCAATGCTGATCCAGTTCTGGCATTGGTCTAAACACTGAAGGATCTTTGTGGAGGAGTAATGATTTTCCAGTAGAGTAAGAGGTTTTTTTGACAAAAGAATCAAAAGTGAGCTTAAGGATGTCAAGTTGTTTTGTCATTTTTCCCTAAACTTTCAAAAATAGATATCACAGTGCAGACAGTCAGAAGGCATTGTTTCATCAAAAAATCAGGGGGGTATGTTTGTTGTTGTTGTGTCTTAATAATTAGCAAGTTCTCTCCAAATATATCTGCCCCGCCTGATTTCAAAGACACTCCTTTGTGATAACCAGCCAACTTACTGAAGCTGGTATTTTCATTATCCAAGGCTGAAAATCTGTTATCTGTCAGCAGAACCTTCAAGTTTGGCATACTCACGGTTTCCTCCCCAAATAGTTGATCAATCTTATAGAGTCATAGAATCATAGGATTAGAAGAGACCTGGTGAGGCATGCAGTCCAACCTCCTGCCAAGAATATTGAGTTGTTTAATGGGCTTGTGAGGTCTGGGAATCTCAGGGCTTGTCTCCGTTTCTTTTTGTTCCCCATTTGCAGAGGAGGATATCAAAACAGAAGAAGGTTCAAAACAGTGAATTGTTGTTCCCCGGTAGTGAAATATAAGGAACAGTTACTTTCTATGGACAGTTAATTTCTCCATCTTTTTGTTTATTTTCAGACAACAAAAGCATTTGTGCCAACCATGATGAGAAATAACCATGGCCATGTTGTCACGGTGGCTTCTGCTGGAGGCCATATTGTGGCACCTTTTCTTGTGGCTTATTGGTAAGTATGATAAGAATATCCCCAGTCACCAAAAAGGATGACTTTTTCAGTACAGTCAAAGTAGTCCAGCTATATGTTCAAGACGCCATTTCAACCACACATTACTTATACATAATTACACACTACTTAATCACATTTCAATTCTTCTTCTTTTAGCTCATCTAAATTTGCTGCTGTCGGTTTTCACAGAGCTTTGACAGCTGAGCTGGCTGCATTGGGGAAGAATGGAGTTAAAACATCATGTGTCTGTCCTATGTTTATAAACAGTGACTTTGTCAAAAATCCATCTTCAAGGTAAGGTTAGTGGGACACTGGTATTGGGAAAAAAACCAATGATATAAGTATTCCTCCGTCGTTCCTCTCTCTCTCTCTCTCTCTCTCTCTCTCTTGTTATTTAGTTCAGGTAATGACAACCTGCAGACTTTTAGATGCTATGAAACAGCTATTCTCTTTAGTTCTCAGTATGCAAGTTCTCAACATGTAAGATGGCTGGGTCATAGGGTCTTAACTTTTATTGAGATTGATACCCATTTGGCAATTTTATTTCTTCTCTCAAATAAATCTATTCTAGCATTTTTAGAACAACATTCCTGATGTTAGGATATGTTATGTTGCCAAGATGAATCTGTATGGAAGCCAGGAGAACTCACTAAACTGCACCCCTCATGATTCCATAGCATGGAGCCATGCGAGTTAAAGTTGTGTCAACTTGCATTAGTTTTATAGTGTAGATGTACTCAATGTCTTCATTTGTCTTCTTCCCATGTCTTTGTTAGCATAGAAGCCCAGAAAACCTATTTTACTGCATTATGTGAGCTAAGAGATTGTGGAAGATGTAGTAAAAAATGCCTTATTCAACTTGACCATCAACTGCCATTAGTCAAAAAGGCCTTGAAGGCACACAACTTAAACAATCCCACATTTTGAGGAACACTCCTCTGTATCCTTTGGATAATAGCTTCATAAATCCTTAAAACTTTCTCCAGTCGCTCCTGACACACACAGAACCCGCCCCCCTCCTTAGCATTGGTCATTCTGACTGGTACTTCTGTAAATTAAGGTCTTTGGTTTGAAGCCATCTGGAGAACTAAAGGTCTTCAACTCCTCATTTCTTTTACGTTTTTCTTATGTTGACTTAAATTCTCGGTCTAGATCTTACACAGTGCCCATAGCTCTACCAGCCCACATTAAATGCAGCTGGTGTGTTGTAAAGGATGCCCCTTATTTTAGGGTTAGAAGACTTATCCATTGTAGGGTTGGCAGGTGTCCATCGTCATGAGAAATGTCCCCTATTTGAGGGCTGGAAGACTTTTCCTTCTGAATAGATTGAATGAGATAATGTAAGAATACTATATGGAACCTTATGTAATTTATGGACATAGACAGTATACTAAGTTAATTGAAACTAATACTTGTATTTGGTGTAGAGCACAAACTTGTTCATAATTGTTTCCTATTGTCAAACCCACAATATTTTTAAGTGTCCCCATGCCTAATTTAAGTGTCCCCATCACTACTGGATTTCCACAAGGAGGTCAAGACCTTCCTCTGTCAACAGGCTTTTGGGGAAGAGGAAAAGAAGACTCTGGGTAGGGTGGGTGAGATTGGGGAGGCATATGATTTTAAAGAGTATTTTAATGGCGGTTTTTTAAACTGTATTTTAAATCTGTTTTTACCACACTGTTATTATTTAATTGTTTTTTAACTTTTGTATTTCTCTTTTTAAACTGCTTAGTGTGGATAGATGTTAGCTGCCTTGATTCCCCATGGAGAGAAAGGCGGGATATAAATATAGATGATGATGATGATGATGATGATGATGATGATGATGATGATGATGATGATAACAATAATTTGAACTACTTTATGCAATGGTCTTGTTTAAATACAGGTTAATGCCTCCTATGGAGCCAGAAGATGTTGCAAAACAAGTAATGAATGGTGTACTAACGAATGAGACAATGATTTTCATCCCACCATTTCTCAAGTTCAATTTAATGCTGGATAAGTGAGTACTGTGAACATAAAGAATAATTTGCTAATTGACCTTTTTGTGAAATTCAGTTTAGAAGAGCCATGCTAATACTTTCTCTTCCTTTCCATCCCAGGTTGCTTCCAGACCGGGCAGCTGCATTTCTCTGGAAGCTGAATAAACTTAAATTTGATTATGCTGTTGCCTATAAGGATGTGGAAAACTAAGGAAATTGATTTGTCCATTCAGTTTTTATTTTTGCTTTTAATGCTCTCACATTTCAGTTAAGGATAAAATTTGACCCAGCTGTTGTCAAGGCACCATAACCTCCCCTCCACACCAAATTAATCTAGACATTCCAAAGACTTCAAACAAAAAAAATATGATTTTTAAGTTTTTTAAAACCTTTTCTGCTCTTTCAAAGTTTCACTGTTCTGAAGTTGCTGGAGACCCTGGGAGAACCCAGCAGCAACTGTATCCTGAGCTATATCGAATCTAAACCCTTTAATAAATGTACTACAATAGATGATATTTTTGTGTAACTTGTATTCATTGTTGTTGTTGTTCATTCGTTCAGTTGTCTCCGACTCTTCGTGACCTCATGGACCAGCCCACGCCAGAGCTCCCTGTCGGCCGTCACCACCCCCAGCTCCTTCAAGGTCAATCCAGTCACTTCAAGGATGCCATCCATCCATCTTGCCCTTGGTCGGCCCCTCTTCCTTTTGCCTTCCACGTTCCCCAGCATAATTGTCTTCTCTAGGCTTTGCTGTCTCCTCATGATGTGGCCAAAGTACTTCAACTTTGTCTCTAGTATCCTTCCCTCCAGTGAGCAGTCGGGCTTTATTTCCTGGAGGATGGACTGGTTGGATCTTCTCGCAGTCCAAGGCACTCTCAGAACTTGCCTCCAACACCACAGTTCAAAAGCATCTATCTTCCTTCGCTCAGCCTTCCCTAAGGTCCAGCTCTCACATCCGTAGGTTACTACAGGGAATACCATGGGTTTGACTAGGCGGATCTTTGTTGCCAATGTGATGTCTCTATTCTTTACTATTTTATCGAGATTGGACATTGCTCTCCTCCCAAGAAGTAAGCGTCTTCTGATTTCCTGGCCACAGTCTGCATCTGCAGTAATCTTTGCACCTCGAAATACAAAGTCTGTCACGGCCTCCACATTTTCTCCCTCTATTTTCCAGTTGTCAATCATTCTTGTTGCCATAATCTTGGTTTTTTTTATGTTTAGCTGCAACCCGGCTTTTGCGCTTTCTTCTTTCACCTTGATTAGAAGGCTCCTCAGCACCTCCTCGCTTTCGGCCATCAGAGTGGTGTCATCTGCATATCTGAGGTTGTTAATCTTTCTTCCAGCAATTTTCACCCCAGCTTTGCATTCATCAAGCCCCGCACATCGCATGATGTGTTCTGCATACAAGTTAAAAAGGTTGGGTGAGAGTATGCAGCCTTGCCGTACGCCTTTCCCAATCTTGAACCAGTCTGTTGTTCCGTGGTCAGTTCTTACTGTTGCTACTTGGTCCTTGTACAGATTCGTCAGATTCCTCATTGTGTACTGTATCAATTCCTAAATGTAAAAAAACAATATCAAATGTACTATGAAAGTATCCATTTCCCCAATCCTCCCTATTTGCATGAGCTTCTGAGAACGGAGATCACTGAGTCATTAAAAGGGTCCCTCTTTTGATCTAGATTTAATAATTCAATTTCCTCTGTGTATATATGAATACTGTTTATTTGATTAAATGTGACTAGAGACTGATAGTTCCCATAGAAGAGAAGGCTAAGATAAAGATGAATAAATTAGCATTTCAAAAGGACAGCCAAGCCTCTGGCTACACAAGATTTTGTTTTTGGCGCCTTGCACCTTTGCCCTTTTGGAACTGGACACTGAAATCAATCAAGGAATCATTTGCATACCCACATCATCAACCTCTTCAGTTTTGTGCCCTCCACGGAGGCATCTCTGAAATGGATTGGACCTTTAAACTAACCAGTAATCAACTGTTTTCTACCCACCATGGGGATCCCGCCTGTGATAAAAAGGAAATGCCCAGGCAATAGCTGTGTGGATCCTAGCCAGCCTATTTTTCAGCCAATCAGGAGGAGGCCCAAGTAGTCTGAATAGCTGTCAAAAGTGTCTTGTATTTTACTGTGAGCAGGTGTTTGTACATTTTTGAGCAGCGACTCAGTACTTGGATCCCTTTTGGTCAGATAGGTTTTTCCGGGCTATATGGCCATATTCTAGAGGCATTCTCTCCTGACATTTCGCCTGCATCTATGGCAAGCATCCTCAGAGGTTGTGAAACCTCACAACCTCTGAGGATGCTTGCTATAGATGCAGGTGAAATGTCAGGAGAGAATGCCTCTAGAACATGGCCATATAGCCCAAAAAAACACCTAAAACAACCCAGTGATTCCGACCATGAAAGCCTACAACAATACACTTTATAATGCTCTTATTCCACTTCAATTGCCATGCTATCATATGGAGTGCTGCGATTTGCAGTTTAGAAAGCATTTAGCATTCTCAGGTCTTAGGCCTTACAAAACTGCGAATCCAAGAATGCCAAGAATGCAGGTATAGTAGTTATGTTGAATGATAGCGCTATAACCATGTAACGTGATAGGAAAGTGTTGATGGATATTTATACCCTCTGATATAGGCCTCCTCTATATACAATATATATCCTCTATATACTCCTCTATATACCAGAGGAGGTCTATTTATAGGCCTCCTCTATATACTAGTTACTGAGTAGCATAAGCAGGAGCATATTATTGCTTCCCATTCATTAGCAATGGTTTGGCCTCTGTGCAAACAGAATGCTGGGCCAGACAGGCCATTGGTGTATTCCATGGTTGTTTTTATATAAGCTCATTAGACTGCCAGTCACATGTTGGTTCAATACTGGAAATAGGATAATATCCTCCACTACACCTGAGAACATAATTCCTGTTCAGAACTCTGTCTAATGGTAGGGACGATCTTTCCACTACTGTGGCTCCTCCTCTATTTACTTCTGACATGCTTTTTTTAAAATATCTAGTTGCATTACCTGTCTGGCCAGTGCAGAATTCTTATAAACATATACATATCTTGCTTTGGTAACATCTTGTTGTATTTGGTTGGTAACCTCTTTCCTTCTGCCTTTGTCTAACCCCTCTGTGCACTGCATTCATTTGCTCCCCAGAAGACTATTCTACATTGGCTACAAATGTACTGCGTTTATAGTACACTGCCAAAAATAGCTTAAGTTTTAAAAAATCTCTCAGCAGGGATTGCACTTACAGAATGATTGCAACTCATTCAGAAATAATTACTATGTGTTGAGGCAGATATGAAGCAGCAGGGGTGAAGAGGAAGGCAGGAACAAGCATTATGTTTTGGCATGTTTGCATTTAGATGCATAATCCCAAGAGCCAACATTCAAGATGCATTTGCTTCTTCTTTAGACTGCTGACACTTAGGGACCAGGCACCTGAGAAAACTACTCTACTATCAATGGTCTTTACTACATGATTAAGGGCTATACTAGACACATTTAGTTTCGTTTATGGCTGCTGTATTTGTTCCTTAGTTAATTAAAAAAATAAAAGCCATATGAATTTGTTCTTAATTGCCATCAAGTCAACTCCAACTTATGATGAGTGACTCTATAAATGAGAGACCTCTAAAACACACTATGATCAACACCTCTGCACAGCTCTTCTAGACCCAAGGCCATGCCTTCTTTGAGTCACTCCATATGGATTTCAATCCTCTCTTTTCCTACTGCCTTCTACCTTACTTAGCATTGTGGTCTTTTCTAATGAGTTATGTCTTCTCATGATATGATCAAAGTACAACAGTCTCAGTTTGTTCCAGGTTACTAAAAGGTAAAGGTAAATGTTTCCCCTGACATTAACTCTAGCTGTTTCTGACTCTGGGGGTAGTGCTTATCTCCATTTCTAAGCCAAAGAGCTGGCATTGTTCATAGACACCTCCAAGGTCTTATGGCCAGCATGACTACATGGAGTGCTGTTACCTTCATGCCAAAGTGATACCTATTGATCTATTCACATTTGCATGTTTTTGAACTGCTAGGTTGGCAGAAGCTGGGGCTAACAGCAGAAGCTCACCCCGCTCCCCGGATTCTGGATAATGGATAAAATGCCCACATCAGATCTCTTATGTTGGGCCAATAAGTGAGCAAAGAGAATGAGGAGATCAGAATTATGATTGGCCAAGTTACTTGCAGTGTTTTGAGATCTGAATTATGGTTCATTTTCCCAGTCCTCTTGCCCATTGCTTTTTACAGGGACTGGGGAAAAAACTAAATATTATGAAAAGTTGTTGCTCGATGTGAAGAAAGTTCAAATCTGCCCCAGGCAAGGAGCTCTGTTGTGAAAACTCTTGCTTGGGTGGTTGTAGGTTTTTTCGGGCTATATGGCTATGTTCTAGAGGCATTTTCTCCTGACGTTTCGCCTGCATCTATGGCAAGCATCCTCAGAGGCAGTGAGGTCTGTTGGAACTAGGAAAAAGGGGTTTATATATCTGTGGAATGACCAGGGTTGGACAAAGTACTCTTGTCTGTTGAAGCTAGGTGTGAATGTTTCAACTGACTACCTTGATTAGCATTTGATTGCCTGGCAGTGCCTGGAGCAATCTTTTGTTGAGAGGTGATTAGATGTCCTTGTTTGTTTCCTCTCTGTTGTTGTGCTGTTCTAATTTTAGAGGTTTTTTTAATACTGGTAGCCAGATTTTGTTCATTTTCATGGTTTCCTCCTTTCTGTTGAAATTGTCCACATGCTTGTGGATTTCAGTGGCTTCTCTGTGTGTAGTCTGACATGGTGGTTGAAAGCCTTCGACAATACAAACTCTTGCTTGTTTGTACTGTTTGGAAGAGCCCACTTTTTATGTACCAAGGAAGAAATATGCTTTCACAATATTGTGTTGACATTTTTAATATATATTAAAATAAGTGCATGGAATTCCTTTTGCAAATCACAGAAAGTGTGCCAAGGAATGTCATTGCAGATAGCCTGGAATTAATCAAATTTATGATGAGCCAACTCTTGGTCTTCTGAATATTCCCAGAAGGTGCTGATGAACTTAATCCTTTTTTTTCTCACCCTGAACAATTGCATCAAAGTTTATTCTTAGAATCTTGTTTAAAGCCACAAAGGCACGCTCAGGAAGAATTCTGTAAGAAATACACAAACATCAAATTATAATGATATAAAACTATCAGGATTGGCTTAGATTGTGGAAGAGGAATCTGTGTTCTTACAAATGTTGCTGAAGATTGCTTTCATCATGCCTGACCATTGGCTACGATGGCTAAAGCTTATGGAAGTTAAAGACAAATAACATCTGGAGGACCACAGATTCCTCATTCTTTGAACAGTTACACATATACGTTTTGACAGTTTGTTTTTGAGGTTCTTACACTAGTCAGTCATTTTGGGTCACTCCATTTGAAAACCACTCCCCCCATACTAAGTAAAGAAGTAGCATGGCTGTTTTGCATCATCACTGCTTT